TCGCTCCGGCGAAGATTCGATATCCATTTTTACGTAGCTTGTTGCAAAAACTGAAATGGCCCTTTTTGAGCGGCATGACCTGAGACCTGCTACAAATATATCGATTGGTGACAGGAAACGACCCACTGGGAGTTTGAACTTACCAGTTTTCTGCGCAACAGTTTCAGTTTTTGTTCTTATTGCGGTCAAAAAGTCACACAACATCTGTGTGTAGATATTCAGGCCAATCCAAAGCCTGCTGTCGGGTGAATGTTTTTCTGGGTATGAATTTGAATGTGTTACCAACTTGAGGGGGGCACGTGTTGTGCCCCCCCCCCCCCAACGCTCTGGATTTCGGCTAGTCATTTTGAAGTTCTTATTTTCTTCAGTTTTTAAACGGGAAACTGTCCTCCTGTGTGCAGCGGTGGACAATGATACAAAGAACGTGGGCCTTTGAGCGCGTTTTTCAATCGGCTGCAGAATCTTACCACTTTGAGGTTGAATAATCCGGAAAAGACATGGCAAGATGTCGTAGGATTAGCTGTTAAATGTCATCAATCCCAGGCACAATAATTGATCAGAGTGACTGGCAAAAAAGTGATTGTTATAAACAATGTTATATTTAGGTCGCTGGGTTTACATATAGTGTGCACTTCAAAGCGGAAACAACAACTTTCACATCAGTTTCAACTGTTATCCATGACGATCCAAGTCACAACGCATCAAGCAATTATTAAGATGTTTATCATGGTAACCGAAAATGGCGAGAACACTTAACTTATGAGACTCGATGTATGATGATGTGATGTGATGATGTGATGATGTGATGATGTGAAACTACATGGCGTCTTGCAATGACATATAGAGTAAACCCCTGAAAAGTTTAAAACAGTTCCATGTGTCGTGACAATGGAAATAAGCAAATATTCTGCCACACGTATTGACTATGACAGCGGATTAAGAAGCTTGTCCACACTTGCGCTGGAATTGTGACGTAACTCCAGTCGTGCATAACCGATGTAGGTGCCACAGCTACTGAGGCTATCGGCCTGAAATGAGCCGCGCCGCTGGCGCGTAAAACGACCATAGCGCTGGGCATTTTATTGAAAACATTTATCGGAATATGTGGTCGCTGCTACGCGTGGTAAATAGAACCTTTATAAAATTATCTTATTTTGCCAGAAATGTCGGACTTTTGTACCTGTATTTGTCTAGTTAAGCTCGTATCCAACCAAAACATTAGGCGGCATGCTCAGTTTGGTTGTGGTGGATAAATTATTGCTCTTACTGTCCAGAGGGTTCCAGATGTCTACCTAAGATGGGATTATTTTGTTGTTAACGAGTGTCTTTGAAGATCAGCAGGCTGTTTAAAACAAAATGATCTGCATACATCGCACGTGTCGTTGACATGTTTCCGAATCCCTGGTCAGAGCCGAATTAATGGCTGAATGAGACGGGGCTAGCAATCGATGTAAAGGCTATATACTGAAAAATATGCAACAACCAAAATATTTCTAAAAGGCCCTCTTGGGGCTCGCACACCTTTGTGGGCCTAGAGATGCAATGCCTCGACGGACAATACAGTTGACTGAATCAAGAAGCAACTTTTTATGACATGTATTATCATGGGGTAAAGAAAGTCAGTTCATTCGAATCTCTGCTTATAATTTGCTGACCATTCGTGGACAGTCAGTGAGTGGGATGGTGGTCTGAGTTGGAGGAGCGTTACGGCTGGGAGCTGCAAGCGACTTGAATGATGCAAGGAGGCAATCCAGTTGCATTCCAACTTTTCCATAATATTTTTTCGACTAAAACGACCACTGCGGCGGTCGGCGCCCTGGTGATGAGTCCCAGAGGCATGAGAAAAACAACGCCGTCACCACAGTTGCCTTCCGCTTCCTGCCTGCCTGCATGGGGGAAATAGCGTGTCTTTTCCTTCGAAATTTTGAGAGGCTATATCTGCCGTCCAAATGTAAAACCCCATACGTTAATTTCTGGATATTTTGCGCTTTTTATGCCATCCGACTCGTCTTCCCATGCTGAGATCATATATCTAAACCAATGGTTGAAATTTGTACAAGCTTTTAGCTGAAAGATTGAGCTAAGAGCTTGTGAAAATTTGAACTAATGGTCTCGATTACCAAATTCAGCATGAGTAGACAAATCAGACGACATAAAAAACGCAAAACGGCCCCAAAATTAACACATGGGTTTTACCTTTGGACGGCAGATACGCCCAGATTAAAGGCATATGCAGATTATCAAAAATAATGTCGAACAGTCCCCGTAACTGAGCTAGAGGCAGGGGCGGATCCAGGGGGCATGGGGCCATGTTTCTACCTTGGGCCCCATGACATTTTTGGTGATTCGAAGGGTTCCAAAATTTCATGGTGAAGGGGCACCAAAAACATTACTTTGGAAACACGCAACCTTTATTTTTAAAAGACACCAAATTCTATGGGCACCACAGTGGTATTGCATCTTCATTTTTGGGAGTTAATTAATTTTAGGGACACCGCAACGCTCGTGCTGTACACTTTGAAAAAGTCCTGAGTAGGCTCATTCAGCGAGCCAGCACCAACACCATCATTTCGGGGCACCACAACCTTTCAAGAGACTTTCTTTCAAGAGACATCCAATTCCAGAAGGCACCACGAAAAGAACCAGATCCTTTATTCCAAAAGAGCACCAAATTTCAGGGGCATAACATGGCTTTACCTCCCATCTTGATTAAATTCTTGATCGGCTCTTCGGACAAGTAAGCAACTAAAAAATTATTGCGGATCCCCATAATCTGTACTTTTAAGAGGCACCAAAGCCAAGCAAACCATTTAAAGAGTCTAACACCGTCTTTTTAAATGGGCGCTAAAATGTATCGGTCGTGGCCCTAACCATAATACGGCGCTAGCAATTACATCAACATAGGCGATAGAGATTACGCCATTGTGTCGTGAGCTCGTGGTGCTGTACGTGCTAGTCCATCCCGAATATCAATCTGATTATCGCACGGGCTAAACTCGCAGATCTGGTACCTTTTAGACGTTTACTAATTGATTCTATAAAACATTTGGAAGCATTACTTCCTGATATATGGCTGTTTTCGTCCGTCCGGTGACCGTCACCGGGTATTGACTGTGGGACCAACGCCACGCGGCCCAAGGAGACTGCGACGCCGGGCTCGGTGCTTTTTCTCCCAGACGGTAAGCGCACATGCTTAAAAGCTATCTTATATACTTTTGCGCTGATGCATTCTAGAAAGGGAATAAAATGTCCCAGGAGAACAAAATAAATGCCCAATTTTGACCTTGCTAGGCTACATAAGGTGCAAAGCGCATTATAGCGCAGTGCACGTGGTTTATTTAACAATCCTTCAATTCCCGTTCCTTGCATTCAATTTATCTCCTCAAACATCCTGAGTTGTATCTTCTGGTATCTTCTGGCTTGTTCTTCAGTCAAAGAAGCTCAACATACAAAAGTAAAAAAAAGCTTTGACATCTCGAAATAAAGTAGGCTTAATCCGATGAGCCAGTCCAGCAGAAGATAGTTAATCGATTAAAAAACTGACTTGGAAATAAAGTGACCGAAATACGGGACTTCTTAAGAGCGAGACGCCAAGTTCCAGGGGCACCGCAGTGAAGTGTGGCCCTTCCATTGATTAAACCCTGGATCCGCCCGTGGCCAGAGTGTACTACATCGGTCCGTAGAATCTTTTCGCATAAAAACCCCATTTTCTGGTCGCCTTTAAAGACCTTTGCGGTCATGCTCTGGATCAGGAGGCCAGTTTGTGTTAAGCATGCCCTTTGTTGGCTTCTGGAGGCTCTCGTTTTAGCTTGAGAGCCCCTGTTATGACTTAGGACGCTTATCTGTACATAGTGGAGCACCATTTTCTGGGAGAGGTGCCCCCCCCCCCTTCATGTGTTAGATGGTCGCAGTTCCAGATCGGGATGTCATGTCTTCGGATGGCGAATCCCTTTGCTGGATTTGGAGACCCTATTTGTGAGTTGGAAAGCTCCTGTTCTAAATCATGAGGCGCTGCAGGTACCATCAGGCGCCACATGCACTAGGAGACCCTTCATTTATTAGGAGTCCCTTTCTGGAACAGGATGCCCTGTTCTGGGATAGGGAGACCTTTTCTAGTGCCAGGAGTCCCTTGCATTAATCATAAGGTCCATATTCTGAACTGTTGTATGGTCGACATCGGTATGGATGTTGATATGTGCAACGATTGATGATGCGGCACATGCCCCCGTGCCTCTCCCTTGAATACGAAACTGCCCAGGAATCCCTCCTACGAGGGGCTCCACTTTTTCCAGAAGGTCCCCCTAGAATCCTGCCCCTCCCCGCCCCCACTCTGATTCATTGGTGCCGCCCCTGTACCCATGCTGTGTATTTGTTGCGCGGGCTGTCGTATCCCCATTGACTGTGCATGCACCACTACAACGCTCTTTTTGCCGCGTGACAGCGGAGAAGCTCTAACTGTTCGACTCGTTGAGCTCCGAGTCTGTGCGACTCGTTCGCTGACTCCATTAGGTCGAGCCTTTGCCAGAGCCGGCTTCCTGCCATAGATGCCTCCGCTTCCCCAATATCCCGGATAACGAGAAACCACGCCGTCTGGAACTCACTATCGCAGCAAATTCACCCTTCCTGTCAATTCGGAGGTACCCGCCTGCCAGCAGCGCATTAATCCCGACCTTTTATTATTTTCTGATTGCTTGGCCAACAAAACGAGCGTGTCAACGGCAGCGCCGATCGTCCGACCCAATAATTCGCCGATTGTCCATGCTCCACCGCACCGAGCACCCATTCCGGGCCATCCCAGCCGGCCGGCGACCAATCGGCGCGCGGCGCCGCAGCTGGCGCGCCGCCCATTGGCTGAGAGGTGGGGTATCTCCGGCGACAAGCGTCGGATGAATCGCGATATGGCCCTCGATGACGGCTTCATGTATTCATGTTTCCAATCGCGCCGCGGCGAGCACGGCAGCAGCAGGCGCCGCAGCGGGTCGCAAGGGCCCCGCGCCGCCGCCAGCGCCGCCCGCCATGTACTCCAACCCGCTGTCCAGCTTCTACGCGTCGTTGGGTCAGTCGCGGTTCCCGCCGGCGTCGCCCGGGGCCTCGTACGCGACCGAGCAGCTGCTGCGGGCGCGCGGGCCCCACCTGGTGTACCCGGTGCCGGCGCGTGCCCTGCCGCCGTCCGTGGAGGCCGCCGAGGGCTACGCGGATCGCGAGCCTGAGCAGCTGGAGAAGCGCCGGCCGGTGCTGAAGTTCAGTGTGAACGCCATCCTGGGAGACGACAGGGACGGCGAAGAGCCTCCGAAGAAAGGTGAGGATGGCCGGCCGGGCAGCCCCCGAGTGGGGGACCGGGACTGGCAGCAGGAGACCGGGACTGGAAGCGGGAGACCGGGGGCTGGCAGCGGGAGACCGGGGCTGGCAGCAGGGGACCGGGGGCTGGCAGCAGGAGACCGGACATTGGGAGCGGGAGACCGGGGCCGGGCAGCGTGAGGTCGTGAACCGACAGCGGGAGACAGGGGACTGGCAGCGGGAGACCGGGGACTGGCAGCGGGAGACCGGGACTGGCAGCGGGAGACCGTGGGCTGGCAGCAGGAGACCGGACATTGGGAGCGGGAGACCGGGGCCGGGCAGCGTGAGGTCGTGAACCGGCAGCGGGAAACCGGGGACTGGCAGCGGGAGATCGGGACTGGCAGCGGGAGACCGGGCATTGGCAGCGGAAGACCGGGACTGGCAGCGGGAGACCGGAGGCTGGCAGCGTGAGGGGGTAAAGGCGACCGTGCGGTCTCTCTCGAAGGTGATTCATGGCCTGCAAGAATCCGACGTAAAGGGTCCTGCAGAGCTGATGACAACTGAACCACTCGATATCCCCGTCTCTCATATCAGGCAACGCCAGACAACCTTCCCCAGATGTTCACCTGGAAATGCGTGGTGTCTGGTACGACAAATCCTACCACTCGCAAAAGCCTGTGAGCCAGCTGTCCGGCCCTTGTTTAGTCTTGTGAAGCCCGTAGACGCCATGCCTGTCTCAATCTGGCGGAGGAGTTCAAGCCTAGGTCAGAAACGCAGTCAGCGCGGGATGAGTCTGAAAAAGTACACCCCACGCCTGAGTTCAGTCGACTGGGAGGGCCCTAGTTTCACAAAGCTCCTGAGTGAGTGCTTGCGTGATTCTGTACAGCCAGGTCGTGCGCCTGCGTGCGTATTTGGCAACGCCCGTGTCAGTTAGACTTACGTTCTTCCGTCAAAAGCAGCAGCAAATTAGTGAGCAAGATGGAACAAATCTTGGAAAGCGGCTTCTGAATGATCAGTCGCGCTGCCCGATCAGCGCCCATTTTCGAACCTTGTGGATCTAGTCATTCGGCTTCGAACACTCCTGTGTCAACATCACCCCACGTGAACACAAAACCGTGCTCACGGTCTTTGTCTATACAATCAGGTAAACTGAGTCATTGAGGCACAGATAACAGCACATGGCACCACTGTATGCTGCCCAGTGTACATGTTCAATGCTGTCTCAACGGTCGTGTCGGGTCCTGGAATGGGGAGTCGCTTATGGAGGAGGCGTGGCCGATGCTGGCCAGCACAGGACCGCTCTACAAAACCGCAGCACACTGTTATAGAAACAGATATTTAGCGTTTTGAGGTCAGTCAACGATGTAGATGGCGTTTAAAACAATAATTGCTTGTCCACTTGCCAAAAAGCGGTGTCGTTCCACTCGCTTTCCGCGTTTCTCTGGTATGGTAGTGCTCCCGACGCCGCCCCCTGAGGTAAGACACAGGGGGCGGCGTCGGAAACCCCGCCGTCTTATCTCCTTTGCCCAATAAGCCGCGGCTCTATACCTCCGTATCACCTTACATTCGCGACCTCAACTTGCATCTTTGCTCGTATGTTGACACTGTAGCGCACTGTTATCTCCGACCGACCTGAGCGAGAAGAAGAGCCTTGAACCAAATGCAATCAAAACAATTATTCGAAGAGTCAGCGAGTGTAATGTGTGCTTTAGAAAAGAAGTGCTTAGATCTTCCTTTGTCGTGAGTCTCCTGGAAGTTTCCTCGTTAACCTTCAGTTGTAAAAAGGAGATAATAATTGCTGCCTGATAACTAGATGCTAACCGTATGGTTCGGTACGTAAGCTTAAGACGAAAAATCATTCCATTTTGTATTTTGGCATCGTATTCTTGTTCTTCAGCACTGGCGTTGCCACCAATAATAACACTCATGCAGTGTTCTGAAGTGCTTAAGGGTGCCGCGGTTCCAATCACTTCAGCGACTGGAATCACCTTTATGCTTGATCCGTGTAACCCTCGTGACGCCGCTGGCAGGTGGTCGTTTCCAGCACAGTTCTGCGCCACCTTTTTGCGCTCTGCACCTAAAAATGTTGCATCGAACTGAGGATTCCAAATGTGTGTTTTGAAACAGATATATGCCCACTTTTTGTCTGGCGGCAAAAGTGATTTTTTAGTTTTGCATTGACAAACCATAATTTAGCTTTCCAGCTGTTAAATTTCCCTTTACTACAGGGACTTAGTAGTCATAGCCATCAAATGATGTATAAGGAATGGATGCACGATGGGATATTTTACTTTTTTCTTTATGCAGTCTACCATCAAAAAGATTATAGTTCAAACCGACATGGGACAAAAACATGATAAGAATCTGGCCCTTGCTAGCAAAGTCGCAAAGTGACACCTTGTTTTGAGAATTTGTTTCGTGTGCCATGCGGTATAGTAGGAGCTGAACCCTGCAGACTGTAGGAACCATCGACGATTTAGACTCGCTTTAGGATCAAGCGGCAAACGGCGCCTACAATGATAGAGCACGCCCCAGCAGCTCAACAGAGCGGCTGAAATGTTCATGGGGTCAAGTTCAGCCTCGAAGTATGGTTTCACCTCGCGATAACTGACACAGAACTTTGTCGCAACGATCTCCAATAACTTTACTACGCAGCAGCGTCCAAGTAACGGTGCCAGTGATCAGTATGAACATTGTTTATCATGGCATGCTTTTTATTGTTTTTCATGAATATTAACCTGACATCAATGCCTGAAGCATGATGTTCTTGGACGTATTGTCAATTTCACGGGTTACCAACATAGAATAGAATGTGTTCTTTTACAAGTGCACGAGCTGGAAATAGTTCCCAGCGAAATGACGGCTGTTGCAGCGTTCGTTTAGATGATTCCTTTGTGAAATGTCACCGTTTCTTTACTAATATTTCATAAATTCGGCGATTAGTAATCTTGGAAGAGCACTGCTATTTTAGCAGGAACGTTGGGCATCACTTTCCATTGCTGTTTCACGTGGCAAAACCCTTTTCACGTTCCAAAAAAGGAACGGAAGTTGAACAGCTGACCCGGCGGTCCGCAGCTGTTGCCAATTATTCCAACTGGGAGATTGCTGTAAACGCAACGAGTTATTCGACAAAATGTGTGACATTCTCGGGCTTCCAACGTCATGTCGCGCATGCCTGAAGGTGTAACTCACTTGACAAAGAACAGGCCACGCTGCTTAATTGAACCAATACGTGTCAACAAGTACAACAAGCATCATTTTCGCCGGAAGTCGGCCGTGCGCTGTTGTTTACCTCATGTGGTTTGCTAAGGGTACAACATTATTATAGTGCCGACAGCCAACACTTCATGCTGCAGGACTATGCAGTGCTGCAGCCGTGATTCGGTGATTCAGAATTGTCTGTCGGCTTTCATTCGGGACTATGTATTCTGAAGACATGCTAGAACCAGTTAGGCCCTCTAGCCTCCGTTTGTCTTCCGTAGAGTTAGCAGCGCCCAACATGCAGTCTTTCAACTGGAAGTCTCTATTCATTCTAAGCTCTCATCACCAGTTTAACAGATCCAGCTCAGCCGGTGTACAGTCTTGCCCGGTGGTGTGAGGCAGGGGGCTGCTCGTAGCACATACAATCACTACCAACGCAGCGTTTGCATGAGTCTCCGTGTTGCCGCGAGAACAATGGTCTCGGGGACGCGTGGTATCGAAACTGCGACCGTGAAGTCATTTCTTACCTTATCCGGATACTATTCCATACAGTATGCGTGCCACAAATCAGGCATCCCATTCTTGGACATGTGCGAGCTTTGACCCTTGTTTCTTGTCCTGTGTTATACCCCTGCTTTATACATTGTCATAAGGCATTGCCGAGGCTGCGAGAAATTTAACCATTTATGTGCAAAGTGCAGAACAAGTTAGGAAATAGGCTGAATGACTACGTACAAAATGATGATGTCGGTGGCACAACCCAGTTGTGTGTTATAAGCAGGGCTAATGTTAACTTAAAGCCGAAAGATGCCTATGCATTCCATCGCAAATGCCAGACACGTAGCCACAATTTTCCTTGGGACAAAATACTAACTTACCATGGAACTCTCGCGAATTGGGCCGAATTTCTGTGAAGGTGCCCAGTATCTCGTGTAAACCATTTAGCTCATGGGGTGGGGACGGTGCCGTGGACCACTCCTGGCTACGTCCCCGGTGAGTGTCATAGCGTCCCTCTCGTGGACCCGGTGTTCGGTGGCACGGGAGGCTACCGAACTGCTGAAATCCCCTGTCTGACGCCAGCGGTGACGGGCAGACCGCTGATGACAACGGCCGGCTGTTTCAGAGTCTGTGACGTACCGGCCTGGTCCCGGGTGCTCCGGCGTGCTGGCTACGCCGAAGCCCCTGTACAGGTCCCTGTTCGACACACCCCTGCACTCGCTGCTCACCAGCAGGTCACACTATCTCACAGGTGAGGTGTTTACCGTCTCACGGGTAAGGTTTTTATCATGCAGCTGCGGCCCATGACATCGATCAGGTGACCAGCAGGACTCATTTCGAGGGGTTGAAGCCACGTGATGATACCTGACGGCAGATGGAGGAACCACGCAGCGGTACAGGTAAGGTAGTCCATGAGTCCATGGGGACAATTACGGTAACATTCAGCTACCTTCACCCCTCCATCGAGATGCATTTCGGATATCTTCCTTTGTTTTATTCGTTACTAAAAAAAACTCAGTTTCATTTGGTGGAGTTAAAAACACGATCCTTCAAAATAAACCGTCATGTCCTTTAAAATGGGTTCAAAAGATGCCACAAGAAGATTTTGTTGATTAAAGAAACTTGCACCTGCTTCCAGGAATGCCGTTTGGTCCCTCGCTGATTTCGCCACCCAGGAATTGATACATAGGCATGTATGACTAATGAATTCCACAAAACCAAAATGCAGGTGGCTCCCTATCCTGCCTTCTAATGAAAAACTATTTTCCGAACAAAGTAAAGACAAGATGAAGAAAAGTGAACATCTAAGATAACAGCACACTAAACGGTTGAAAACGGCTTAACAGATGTTTATTACATTTTAGCTGTTTTAAAGCCTTAACTTAAGCTTTCCCTGGTTCGGAGAGTTTATAGCTGATAGACTTATGTGGCATAACTGAGCCACTCAGATAGCTCTGGATGAGACCTGACCAAGAGGCGCAGAGCCAAGTGTACCTATATGGGTATTTTGGGAAGGTGCCGATGTGTATTGAATGTGTATAATTTGCATGTTTATGGTTGCCTGCTCTTTAGTTTCATTTTGTCTACAGGAAGCTGAATTCATTATCGTCATGATGATAACCACACAACATAGTGTTGCGGCATGCAAGAACTTCAGAACGGTTTATTCAGTATTCAGAACAGTATTCAAGGGCCGCAGCAGCATCATGTGCTGGTTTTTTTTCAATGCCTGCTTTAAAACTGATGCTGGTTTTTATTTTAAAAAGACGGTTTTGAAGCTCTGTGCAAATTACTATTAAACGAACATTGTTCAGAATGCAGCCGTTACCACGCACGCTAAATAAAGACAGAAAATAAACGGTATACACGCTCCAAATGTACTTCCAGACTTATCCCGAGTAGTTTTGATGGTAAACTCTTTCGCCGATCATGGGATTTTGTGAGGCCTGCAGGAAGCGGCAGCTGGAAGGGGTGAATGACACAAGTTTTTGGACATGCAAAGCTGTAGAGAAATTTATGGAGCTTCCTGCCTAGACAAAAACAACATGGCTCGTTTACCGATGATTTGTTTCGGAAGAGATGTCCGCCCACTTCTATTTTCAGGGCCATGGCGTTTTTTGCCTCGGAAGCTGATGATCCGCCAAGCAATGTTTACTAAGTCGGCACATCTGTATAATATCTCTTCACAACAAATGGCAATGGGCTGCAGGCGAGGCTTTTCGCCGAGCCTCTATAGCCTCAGCATACGAACCAATCCCGCCTGGTCCCGTTCAATTATAAGCCCCGGATAAACCGAATCACCAAAAGAGCGCGTGTAAAAACTCGATGGGCCACTTGGAATAATATCTGCTGACTGGCGGTGTATGTTTGGTCAGGCCGGGCGCCCGGCGGCTCGCTCATTGTGGCTCGCGTCCATTACCATCTGAAAGGCCGCTTCCAGCCCGTTGGAGGCAGACAATAGCGCCGATGCTTCCATCGTTAGCGAGCCCCGCCGCTGGGGATCGCCAATAAAACACTAACAAAACAATCTGTTTCGCGGCGAAAGGCCCATGATCCCGCGGCTGACGCAGGGGGGAGGGGCGGGGGGCTCCGCGCGTACGCCCCCTGCCTCCTCCACCCAGCTGTTTGTGATGGTGCGGGGCGGTGCACCCGTCACGTTAGAGCGGGACGACAGGGTTCAGTGACGCTGGCGCGGTCGGTTACGGGCCGATCTGTGCTCTCGGCAAAACAGCCAGGATGAGTGACGTATAATGACCAATGGTAATAGCCAACAAAACGGTCATTTTTGTCGTTGGAAGCTGAATCGTGTCGTCGGGTGTGTTCAGCCATCGGTTAGGTTTGGACGTTATTTCTCAGTTGACGTCGCTGAAACACTGCGGCGATAACAGCTGTGGCTGAAACATTGCAAAAGTTATTTGATATGTGACGTGAAGTTGCCCGGGGTGTCTTAAATACGGCTATCTGGCGCGGTTGGCGCGGTCCTAAGCCGCGCGGCGATTCGACCAATAAAAATGTCACGTCCATGGGGTCCTAGTCTTGACGTCAAGACAAATGTAACTTTTCAAATGGCGACGTCCATTAGTTCATTTGATCGACTGGGCTATTAAGGGCTTGGTGATTGTGACCGGGAATCCGAACTCGTGCCTCACATGCACCGCCTTCTGCATAACACTATTGTTTATGCGGTGTGCAGGCTCGTGCCTGCGCTTGATTGAATATCACGTATTCCGGTGACATCAGTACCAAAAATCGTGAAAGAGCAGATAACTCCGAGCGTCATGCAGGCTTACTTGCTGCGTTTGGTACACTGTGCTGCAGTTGCCACATGTGGAGTCCTGTGAGCGTTTGGAGGGGTCCTCGTCATGCCCCCCCCCCCCCCCAATGTTCTTCAAAGCTTCCTCATATCTGACCAAGATATCAAAAGTTCTTCAAATAGCAATGCAATACGGCACACATCTCCTTGCTTGGGGAAAGATATTATCTACGGTTTCTCCCACCGAATTTTATGAGGCTCCAACTTTGAAAGTGGATCCACTCAGCCATGAGCTGCGAACTGAGCACGCTGGTGTGACCAACAACTATTGGTCGCTATTCTGGACGTTATCTGGGGATATCTGGGGATTATCCCGGGCCTTAGAGCATTGGTCCGAATGCAGCACTCCCATTTCCTTTCGATCACAGTCATGGTGGTCGGTTGGCTAAGAACGATAGAATGTTTAAAATAAACAGCACGAAGGCTGCTGCTTTTGTGCCGCTTTCCACTGAGCGAATTCCGTGCGTGGTTCTCGAACATCTGCTTGTCAACGTCCAGAAAAAATGCGACTAAGGCTAAAAAACTCTCCAGCACCTTGTTATCACAGCGGCCCGTTTAGAGTGCATTGGGGCCCTCTCTGGGTGGCATGCCCGGCCGCGCGGCGCCGGCAGGCCTGGTGTTCACTGCACGCGACGGACGTCCGCTGGCCAAGTCGGTGGTGGACCCGTGCCTCGTCCCGCTCTAGCCCCGCCCATGCGTAGACGGCGGCCGTGCAACCCAAGGGCGTGCGTACCACACGGTAGGTAGCATGGCCCCGCCCACACGTGGACGGCGGCTGTGTGACCCAGGGGCGTACCACATGGTAGACAGCATGGCCCCGCCCACGCGTGGACGGCGGCCGTGCGACCCAGGGGCGTACCACATGGTAGACAGCATAGCCCTGCCCACGCGTGGACGGCGGCCGTGCGACCCAGGGGCGTACCACATGGTAGACAGCATGGCCCCGCCCACGCGTGGACGGCGGCCGTGCGACCCAGGGGCGTACCACATGGTAGGCAGCATCGCTCCGCCCACGGCGGCCGTGTGACCCAGGGGCGTACCACATGGTGAAAAGAATGGCGTCGGCCGCCTGGTTAGCCGTGTGTTGCTGAGTGAGAAGTGGCGTCCGTAAGGTACGCTTAGAATTTCTGTCGCAGTCCATTGTTGGTAGCGATGATGCAGTTGTTAAGCTGAACATCTGTAAAATTCGGGATGCGGGGTTCAGTTGCTTGCGGTGTTCGCGTCTCCTGCCATGATGAGTGGCAGACGACGCCATATAGCCTCAGTAGCTGAGTGTGCCGTAAAGCCTCTGAGAATTGAATGAATTACGGCAAAGGTGGCAAGAAACGAGCAAGAAACGACTTCTTGCCGTTGTGCTGCTAGCCTTACGCCTGAAACACTAAATAAAACACCTTACGTCCCGTACACCCGAGCAGCAGGAATCAGTCCGTCAGTCAGCGTCGGCCTCGGGACAGCCGGGAACCCCTGGGTCCAAATCCAGTTCATCCGTGACCGACTGCAACCTTCACGCTCATTGCCGGGATCAGAAAGATCGGGTGGAATAGGAAGAGTGAAGCATGCAGAAGTGGTTGGCAGGATCGCCCGCGGATTTCGACCCCTGAGTGTGGTGTCTGTTGTGTCTCGCGTAAGTGTTAGGGATGTGCGACTCGCTTCAAACGCTTCCGGACGTGAGCCGTTTTGATGTGATAAGGGCGAGCCGGCCCTTAAAAAAACGTGTTGCATGAAATGACCCTCGAAGTCATCAGGCTGGTCAAGGACCCCTTCCGTGCTTCGCAGCATAAAAACAATAGGATTCGAAAGCCATTTGCCCACCAGTGGCACGTCTCGTGCAGCGTGAGACCAGTGAACTGACAGCAGCCGGGAGAGTTATCAGACGCTGTGTAGATGATGCTAAACAAAACTGAACCGATGGAACCATACAGTCTTGGCAGCCAATATAATGGGTTTGGTCAAAGCGTCGTGGAGCATAACTCTCATGATAGTTCAGCTGGCGAAGTTCTGTTCATGTAGCTCCGCGGCGCTGAGTCACCGAGACCTCGACCCAGCCTCGGTCAGCCTCCCTCAGCCTTCCCGCGATTCCACGATGTTACGCCATCAGTGTCACCAGAATGGGTGAGGTGGAATCGGGGTGTTTACACAACTTTGCAGGACACTCACCTAATCAATTTGTATGAAGCTGCCGATGAAAACCTCCATGCACCTGCGATCAATGGTTGCCGAAACATTATCTTCTTCGCAGCACGACAGCTGGCCCTGACTTGGGCACTAAAATTGATAATTTGCGGCTTAGTTCGAGCAAGACTCTTCACTCTGAGGCCTACCTCGTAATGGCACGCTTAAGCTAACTTCATAAACGGCGGCGCTACTGAGGGATTAGGTCTAAAGGCCTTATCTAGCAAATCCTTGAACCCGCCACACAGTGTGCCAGCTCATCCCCATCGGCTTGAATAGTCGCACAAATAGCCACTTCGGCGGCTGTATTAGCGGTGCATGACACGAATAGCCGAGGCAGGCAACTGCACGTTTTAAACGTGAGCTCAATCCGGCCACCTGACAAGATCTTCCCGCCCCGGATCGCCAACTTTTCTGCAGTGTAAAAGCCGACAATCCGGTGGCGAGCACGGACCGACCGTGACAACCAGCGGCGCTGCACCGTGAAATTTCATATCAACGCCTCGGCGCGCGCTCGCGCGGCATTTAAATGCGAAACGGCGGCGGCGAGCTGCGGCGGCGAGACAACATTCGACCGCTCCCTTTGTGCGCGGCGCTAAATAATTCATGATTTCGATTGTTGGCGTGCATCTCCGGCGAACCGGATTCGACGCAAGCGGCGTGCACGGCGCGGTCACAGAAAGCCGCATTTGCCACGCTATCTGTGCGCCAGGGATAAGAGTTTAATGTGGGTTTAGTGGGCGCCGGGGGCCGGCCAGCCGGCATTGTGAGGCAGAAATGACCAATTTGGGAGCAGCACCGTGAAGCAGCTGGCTGCGACGGGCGACGCGGCTGCGGCGATTACACACCGGGCCGGTGGCGGCGCGCACATAAATACGCGCAGCCTATACAGATCACCGCCAAAGAGCATGGCGTAGTGACGTAGCTCAGTCAATGGACGCCGAAGGGGAGTTCTGGTATGCGATGAGCTTACGCATGCGAAAGTTTAAAATGATGCGGCTGACGTCACGCGGTGAAGTGATACATCGCGCAATTCAACGCTGCTAAGAACTCCAGAGATATGCTCCTTAATATGCCTGGTTGCTGACGTATGTCTGTTATGTTTGTGCCTCAAAGGAGTGCGCGTTGTTCTGTTCCAGTTCCTACCACATCGGGATGTCAGCGCCTGACGACGTCCATGCTGCCCCTAGCCGGCACCTTCTCCTGCTGGCCGACGTCACCCAGGGGTGAGTGCTTTCTCCGCCTCCACCTACGTGAGCTGCCACCAGATCCTCGGCAGCGTGGCTGATCTGGTCGGGGTCGCGATAACGCCCTGCTCCTCCACCACTGAGCTTTGGCCGGCGTCAGCTGGCTCCACGGCATGGTGTCGTGAGAGAGGCTGACGCCCTCGTTGCGGTGCCGCAAGTCGGTGACGTTCTTCGCATGATGTCTCGCCGCCTGCTCTGAACGTATTCGTTCAAGCGCCCGGTTATTTGCGTCGTGAATTCAGAGGCATGAGATCGCTAGAAAAATGGGCAGGAGACGAGCCCATTCTTCAGGCCAGTTGGCTTCACGGATCACCATTGTGTTAATGTAATACAGTCACAAAAAGTGATAGTAATGGCCACCTAGTTTTCCTCATCCTTTTCCTACCTCTATTCTTATGATTCACTGCCGCGGTGTTCTGTAAGCTACACAATTTTTTAAGTTTCCCTGTAGTCATCACATTGTAAAGGCTCCGTCGCACATAGTGAGTTCTTAACATGCCAATGGCACACTCAGGTGCGCAAAGATGGGGCTAGGCATCTGAACATTTGGCTAGATCTGCGTAAAACATTTTAGTCTCTATGAGCTATCGCCCTCATCATACCCTTCCGCGCGCACATCTATCTTATCTTCTATATCTAATTTTGTCATATTCACACATCACCCTGAAATGTATGGCTGGCGGTAGGTTTATAGCGATGGCATGTACAAAGGCATACGAACCGCAGATCAGAAACGAGCGTCAGCTTATCGTCGCAATTGCCCTCTTTTTCTATTAGGTATTCTTCGATTTATGTCATTTTACCCTAATTCCGACAGCAGGAATTCCCAAGTTTCCTCGCTCTTGCTGGAACAGTTTGATAGTTTGGAAACGAGGTTGGAAGACTGGAGTGGTCAAATTGCCACCATCCTCCATGGATCAACCTCCACGGGCCATCATGCCTCCTGACTAGTTGCTAACCTAAACCGTCAATTGAAATTGATAGATTCCCAAATCAGTCCATGTTTGTGACGGCAAATCATCACACACACATGCATCCAGTTACGCATAGTGCAAACATACCCGCGCCCCCGCCCCTGCCCCCTACAAGGAACGAAACATACAACGAACATGGACAGAGATACCCTGCGCGGTTATGTCGACTGCCTCCATGTTGCTGCTCCCTTATGAGCTCGGTGTGCCACAAGCAAACCCCGGCGCCCCTGCTAATCTGACTCGGTGTGCCACAGGCAAACCCCGGCGCCCCCGCTAACCTGGCTCGGTGGGCCACAGGACAAACCCCGGTGCCCTTGCTAATCTAGCTCGGTGTGCCACAGGCAAACCCCGGCGCCCCCGCTAACCTGACTCTGTGTGCCACAGGCAAACCCCGGCGCCCCCGCTAACCTGGTTCGGTGTGCCACAGGCAAACCTCGGCGCCCCCGCTAACCTGGCTCGGTGTGCCACGGGCAAACCCCGGCGCCCCCGCTAACCTGGCTCGGTGGACCACAGGCAAACCCCGGCGCCCCCGCTAACCTGGCTCGGTGTGCCATGGGCAAACCCCGGCGCCCCCGCTAACCTGGCTCGGTGGACCACAGGCAAACCTCGGCGCGGTATGCTGCGCAGGGCCGTCTTCTCCGACCTACAGCGGCAGGGTCTCGAGAAGCGCTTCCAGGTGCAGAAGTACATCAGCAAGCCGGACAGAAAGAAGCTGGCCGAGAAGCTCGGACTGAAGGACTCACAGGTGCGAGGTGACGCGGACATGCGTACATTCACGTTAGTATTGATGTTCATGCTGTCATTGACATCACAGCTTCGGATTTGTCTAGCTTTGTATTGCTATCATTATGCCCATTTGGCGCATACCAAGAGATGATGCCAAGCATTCCTGATCCCTCGTGACAGATCACTTTTCTCATCCCTGCGTGCATGTGCAGTGTGTTACAGAGATGTAAACAAATTGGATAATATTACGCAATAAAAATGTACGGCCGACAGACAAATATCAATTATTCACGGCAAACATATGAAGTTCCTTCAATAGGAAAGGAAAAGATAAACTAGCAAAAAAGGTCATTGAAATCGCAAAGCATGCTTGGATTCGTTATTGTAAAACTTTCGAGCAGTTTAGTGCTGAAAACCATAGGAAAGGCACTAAAGGGGGACGAAACTTGGTTTGGTGTTGTTTTTACGCAACCAGTAGAATATTTTAGCTTCTGAAAATAGCTTCTTAATCGCAACAAATCCCAAAACAAGTGGAACACTGTCACTTTTGTACTTCATCCTAGGTCATTCACTGCCCTGTCCATGGACAGGACGCCTTGACATTGTCAGTAAAAAAACTAAAATACGGCATTGGCGTCGCCGCAATACGTATCAATTTTGCCGCGAGCTCTTTAAGCCCAAAACGGTTACAAGGAACAGACCCTCACAAAAAGAAAGATACCAAATGAACCAAGGGAAAATGCCACAACTTTCCACGCATTTTACGACCAAATGATTTTCAGTGAGCCCAGTCTCTTTACCCAGTCATGCCTGGAAATAAGTAACTTCAAAAACTTCTTGACTCGCCCACTTTGTGAGTTGTCCCCACTGTGAGTGGGAGGCCGGGTTGGCGGGCCGGGCGGGACGGCTTGGGCGCTTCGTGCACCCCTGGTTTCTCCACCTAACACCATATAACCTATTTCGTTATAGATAAGTGAGCAGACGTGCTCGATGTCATCCCCTCCGTTTATTCCGCTTGTTTCAACTTAGCTTCTCGGCCACCGGATTACAGCCTCTTTACTTCATTTCACAACCCGTCCGTGATGAATCATTTAGGAGAAAAGTCAATTACCTCAAATTTCCCCCGGCGCTCTCCCGGGCGCTGCGGCACCAGCCCGAACCACTGCAGCGTCCAAACGGTCCTCGATATGCCTCTCTCTCTCTCGCTGCCGCGCCTCAGCCTCAGGTGAGGTGAGCAGGCAGTCACGGCGCTGCTGCTCCTCGCCAGAGAATCAATGGCAGCGCCCGCAGCCGCCTCTCCGGCTCCCTGCTTCACCCCTCGTCCACAGAGCCTATTTTTCCTCCTATATTAACTTCATACATTCACGCGGCGCGGCGGCTGCCGCCATTATTGGCTGGCGACATCTGGCGGCAGCCGGCAATCTCCATAAAATTGATTCTATAAACCACACTAAATTCATATTTTTACACCAATACGTCAAAACAGTGGCGCTTTAGGTGCACCGGCCGTGACTCGGCGGACGCGGCGCACGTGATTGAGGAGACAAATAGACGTTTATGGGTGCCATTTTTGGCCCATTCGCCGCAGCTCCGGGCCGTGTTGAGCCGGCCGGCGCCATCTTCGCGGCGGAAGCGGCGCGGGCAGCCGCCGCCTGCCGCCAGTGGCCCTCCGATTGACATATCACTGACGGACGGCGCCAGTCGCGCGGCCGTTACGTGTTCTCCGACAAAAATGGCCGCCGCAAGGGGCGCCGTCGGCCGCGCGGCGCGGACGGCCTCCTGAATTTATGTCCGGGAGCATCTGCAACGGCCGTGATCGTGCCGGACAGAGGCAGGGTGGCGGGCCGGCTCTCGCCAAACGCGTTCAGGTACGAGACGCGTGTAGGCTTTCATAATACTCTGCAAGCATTCTGCGTCTCTCGCGCGGCGCGAGGCAGAAGTGCGGGAAATCAGGGGAAATTGATGCTCAAACGCCTTTTACGTGGCTATTTTGCAATGCGACGCAATAGAGCTCATGTTCGATTTTTTTCCGGGAGTTGGAGACGCGATTGATGGAGTTGATTGAATTCGGAACCGTTCCTCTGCTCCCCCAGCACCCCTCCCCTACTCTCCCCGCCTCGTTTCCGCCCCTTTAACCGAGTGTGCGCTATTTTGCTGCCGGGGGATCAGGTCGGAAGGCTGTTGTTATAGTGAAAGTTTGGATGGATGGTGTATATGCAACGTTTGATGTCCAGGAAAGAACGGGATTCTTGACCCAGTCAGAACAAAGACATGCACAATTAGGTAGCGGGAAACAGCAATCATAACGTTTCCGGGGTTGATGTCCTGTTGGGCAACAGAGACGTGAACATTTATATCGCTCCGATATCAAAGGTGTTTGTGACCATGTCGCGTTCTTGTTTTTCGCATTCTGCTCCGTAGATCACATTCACTTTACACGTCAGCAGGGGCACTAGCACTGCCAGCATTTATGAGCGGTTATTTACCGTGGCCATGCATCACGCGTCGCCAACGTTTTCCAGCCCTTCGACGGACCGGGGCGAGCGGCGCGGCGGCGGCGCGCGGGCTCGATGAGCCGTGTGCTCAATTAGCCCACCAGATGTCAGCAGCAGCCGCCAGCGTGATGCACGACCCTGTTGTTATTGTGGCTCGGAACCGTGGCCGATTTATAACGTCATAATTCTGCCCTAGTGCTTTTTATGAGAGCAAATATTAGCCTCCCGGTGGCCAATGGCTGGGTGGCGATCTAAATCAGGCCACACGTTGACGATGACAGGCATGGCACGGCGGTGTCCGCGCTTGAGATAGAGAGGGAGAGAGAGGCCCCGGACGGCCCGAGACGGCCAGGCTCGTAAACACATGTGATTAACTGCCGGAGGTCTGAGTCGGTTTTGAGGTAGTCTGTGTGGGTAAATCACGGAATGCAGTGATCTGTGTCAAAAATAAAGGTGCACGGGCTCCCTCCAATCCTAAAAGCGGTAACGGCCAAGGCCCTTTGAATCTTATGGACGCAGGGTGCTGCATTGCAGGATGCAGGGTGTTGTATGGGTGCTGCATTGGTTTGCTAGAAGCTGTCTTCTGACAGGGCATTTCCGTTGGTGCTGCCGGCATTAATAGAGCCGTTGTGGCCAGTGAAGTTTATCGTGGTGGCTATTTTTGAATTGGTTGGGATAAGAGCCCTTTCGGCCAGCAGTGACCATTTCAAAACTACCGGATAAGGGAAAGTGGAGAGGGCTATGACGGGCCTGGTCGATCAAGACTGATCTGGTGGGCCGGTCAATGATGGTGGCCACTAGTTGAATTGTTAAACTTTATTCATATGCATATCAATATCTATTCAAGTTTGATCAGGGGGCGTGCCACTGCCCCCCCCCCCCCCCGCCGCGCCCCATAAATACGCCCTTGTCTGTGAGTCTTCCGCTACCGAGACGCATCCCGCGCAGCGCCCCTCTTCGCGGTTTGCGCGGGGGCTCGGGTGGGTCTACGCAGGGGCCCCCTTCGCGGCTTGCGCGGGACTCAGGTAGGTCTCCGCAGGGCCCCTCTTCGCGGTTTGCGCGGGGACTCGGGTGGGTCTCCTACCAGATGGACACTTAAGCCCGCTTATGGAGCTTACTCCGGACAAAAAGGCCGTCGCGGGGATCCAGGATGAATTGATAGGGAAGGAAAAATGGCGGATGTTCTTGGGCGTTAATCGAAACGTGAATTTGTACGCCTGGTGTAAGTTCGTAACCTCAAACTTTGATGGATAACGCTTATTTAATTTAAAATGGGCTTAAATAGCTTGTTGTATGCTGCTCCCTGTTTCCGACGAGAACACTGCAGGTTGTCTTTCCAGATGTCCTTGGAGTGTCAAATGTCCAACGGAGTATCGGCACACACCAATGACGCATTAGCAGGGTCGTATTGGCTTTTTGCGGTCACGAATTAGAAGAGATGCAGGTCCGACATTCTCATCAGCAACGAGAGGTCGGTCAGCCACCGCCCCCTGCCCCTTCTCCGTGCTCGCCATCTGTCGTCCCGCCCACTAACCACGTCCCACTGTCACCAGGTCAAGATATGGTTCCAGAACCGGCGCATGAAGTGGCGCAACTCAAAAGAGCGCGAGCTGCTGGCTAGTGGCGGCACGCGCGAACAGACGCTGCCTAACAAGAACAACCCTCACCCGGACCTGACGGACGTGGGCGACGCGGCCGGCAGCCCAGCGCCCGTCACCGGCCGCGACAGTGACGTGGACGTCACGGAGGAGGCCGACGAGGCCGAAGAGGATGTGGCCGAACAGCTGCCGCGCTCGCCGGCCCGACGCTCGCCGTTTGGCGTCTAGCGGACAGGGCAGCCCCGTCCCCTGATCTCCAGCGGGCCCTGAACTCCTGACGTCTCGGGAGGCCCTCCGGCTCCCTCGCCAGCGCTGGCGGCGAGGGGCCTCGCGTCAGCAACAGCCCCCGCTCCCTGGCCTGCAGACATCCCGGGCCGTCCTCTCGCCCGCCGGTTCGGCTGGCCGGCGCTCTCTCTCCCCGCTCGGCGCTGGTGGACGGCGTAGCGCGACGGCGCCTCCGCCTACCGACTGCTGCGACCGATAGTCGGCAGCGCCCTCTCGGCGCCGGGCGAAGAGGTGAAGCTTTGAGCGACTCTGTCCAGGCGGCGCCAGCAGAGAACGAGGACCCACGCCCGCTCTCCTGGTTCAAAGATCACTCGGCTTGCAGCAGAGACACCCTCCCCTTCCCGGTCGCTACCAAACTCAGAGACTGCTGCCGAATGCCAAGATACGCTGAGTGTGGAGTTCATGTCGCCCGGATCTCTGGCCGCCGGCGGCGCACGGTGTCCGGCTAGCTCCGGCTCGCAGAGCGACATGATGGTAGCTTGCAGCACCCTCTGGAACATTGGGGACGGGGGACGGCGTGCTGGCCGTTCAGGGTCCCTTAAGGACGTTTGAGCTGAGAGGGTGCTACACCCAGCGGCCTAGGCGTGGATTCGCCAGCGCGACGTTCGCCGCTGCCGGCACAGCTGTTAATAGGATGCGCAACTCTCAAAGCCAAATGTGTCAAAGGGTGGAGCGTGAAGAGCATTTATGATTGCATGAAGCTCCATAATTATGACGAGAATCAAGCGTCAGTAACCATTTTGGTTAGCTCTGTTCGGCTGCAGCGGGGAGCATTCCAGCACGAAGGCATGACACCGGCGTTGCGTCGCGCTGCTGGTATAATTGCGCAGTACAATGCCAAGCCGCCCTTTTTGCATCACTCGATCGCTGGTGCTCGGCTGGCATGGTGCGGTGACCTAAACGTTTTGTTCGCAAATTACCCTGAACATATGCATTGGATAGGGGATCCGCCTGTCGCCCAGTTTTTTTTTTCCAAAATCGAAGACAAATTTAGCATGCCAACGAGCGGCGTGGTTGCGGGTAACGCAGCTTATCCGCAAAATAAGACAGAAATCGGGTTTCTTCCCAGATTTGGTCCGCTTTCCCCTCAAAGCTAGGGGAGCGGATCTGGGGCCCTCCCTCCAACTGAACACGAAGCTACACATCTGATCGCAGCCAACAATCTTTAGGCATATCTTCTAACAGGAGAACGAGATGTCAATCATGAGCTGTTCAACGAGCCCACCATGCCACGCAATGCCTATTCGCCGAGAGCAGCTGCTGCCGTCCGCGGAAGAATACGAAGGAGTGGCATCAGATCCGGCACCAGGACAAGGCCATAAATCTGTCACTTCCGGCGGGTGTGTGTGCAGCTAACAAACTTCACTTTCCATCAGGATAGCTTTGTCAGAAAATTTGCATCATTGATGGAATCGATCGATCACTTAACTTTCCATTATCTGTAATTATTCATAGTTTATTTAGGCGGTATGTGACCCCACTGATCAGCAGTTCCATCACAGACATGCAGCACTGTTCATTCTTCATGCGCCCCCCCCCCCCCCCGCTCCCCTCTCCCCGTCCTTCCTTATCGCTGGTAGCTCGGCTGCCTAAGCGTGGTCATGTCCTTGATATTGAAAGCCTTCGTTTTTTATTGCTGATAGACTCGAATTTTGATCTCTGACCTCGACCTTAAACTGCATTGGTCTAATGGCTATCGTGAGCCAAAATTGAAGATGTCTCGAAAATTATTGTCTTAGGCTGCATGGCTCTTGCGTCAGGCAACACTAAAAGACCGGACGAATGGGAGCATGTTCCGCCTGCATTGATGTCTGATAGGTTTAAGGCGAGCCGTGAGCGGCTCCATCTCCATACCGAGAGTTCAATGGGGCTTGGACAACATGCTGCTCCCACCCCGGACTACGCAGCCGGTCAGTTGGACAGGTCGGCCTCGAGATCTGATAGCCGATCGATGGTTGGCCGGCTTGGTGGAGTCGGTGTTCGCCGTGTGGGATATATATATATATATATATATATATATATATATATATATATATATATTCAGCGCTATGAAGTCAGTCCGATTCCAGGACCGTCACTCTGTTGTCTGTCAATTAGGCAGAAGTGTTACGTCCAACCTGTGGTATCGTCAACATGCTATCGCTGTTGGTATCGGGTGTGCCTGACCGACGCCATTTTAAAGGTGCTGAATGAAGCATCGGATATTTTAGGCTCACTTCGTGATGCGCAGCGATCTCAGCGATAACAAAAGTTCAGCGGAGGTATCCGAAAACAATGACAGCTCGTTAGGGCGCTCACGAAAGTTTGATGTTGAAGCTGGTGAGGAGCGCGTCACTCCTGGGGCCGGCCGGTATTTCGAGAAAAAATAGTGATAGGGTAGCATGATTGCCAAATTACTGCGGCATCGTCTCCTGTGAGACCTTCGGCTCGTATAGGGTGCCGCCGGAAACCCTCAGCTTCCTATAATTGGACGCCTCTCGGTTTCCTCGCACTCCTGTATGACTTATTTTGTCTTCGAGAGTGAGGTCGGTTGTGACTGCACTCCCAAGTGAGATCGAACCCAATGTCTTATTTTTCGTTATGGTTGAAATATATGTCTAAACTGTCGCATCACTTACCTGTTTGAGGGGCGTGGCTATCAAGTAATGCTGAATTCGGTTGGTAGCAGCCCTTATACGGTACTCAAAGTATTGGTTTGATGCTGCAGCCGTAGCCAGTTTCATTTACTTGCAGAGGTACATCATATTTGCATCAACCTCAAATGTGCCCCACCGACTGGGCTCATTAATGAGACTCCCACAGTGTAAGCATTTCATGCTTAGCTGAATCGTAAGCGGCATCATGTTTTCGCCGCTGCCCTGATGTTACTCATGACTGTTGCGCGTACGCAGCATCGGCGCCGATTTGATGGTAGATGATCAGCAAACTGTCTCAAATTTGACTGATTGAAAGCTGTGTAATGTCATCTATATTAATAGTGTGGGTTGTGCGATGGCATGCGTTGTGATGGTACAATGCAGGTGACAATGGTACTGCTTAAATTATACAGACGTGTAATGAAAGCTGCAACGCTGAATAAACTATGTGTACCTGCCGTCGTGTTGCATTTTCTAGTCACATAAAATGGGACTCTTCAGCTTTTACAGCGGAATGAAATTCCAGGCTTCTATTTCAAGGCCCTAGCCACCATTGATTTTAGGCAATGCTGGAGCTGTTTAAAGTATTATCTCATCAATTGGCTTTTTCTTCATCATCAGCTGAACACGATGACTTCCACTATATGTTTGAAAACAGGATTGCGTCTTAAGTATGGAGTCACTTTCACTGCTGTGAGTCATGGAAGGTAACAGCAAAATTACCTTTACATGCAAAACAACTGACACGTGGCACCTAGCTGTGCAATAGGGATGAGAGCAGGCACAGACAGACATGAAAAGTAATTGAAACGCGTTGGCTCCAGTTGAAAGTAGGCGCATGAGAACATGTTATCACTTAACTCCTTAATTACGTACGATGATTTATGAAAAGTAGGTAGCACCTATCAATAAGTACACGATAATTTTGCACCTTGTTGATATGAATTTCATAACTAGTTTTCCACGAAGTGCAACGTAATTGCTGTTAATTAAAGGAAATGAATGGTCCTTTTAAGTGTTGGGCTTTGGTCTCGACCACAACCTTGTACCAACAGACACCTTCTCTAATGGGCGGTTTAAACTCGCAGTTTTTCGCCAAATGCCAAGCGCATGAGCATTTTTTAATTTTTTAAAGTAATAACATCAAAATGACTATAGCTCAAGTGAGCGGGTTTTGTAAGGGCCAAAGAATTGTTTTGAAGTCGAAATTACCGTCAAATTGGGTTGTTGCATCATTGGATCATGTGCCGGAGCCCGTAACCCATACAACAAGTTCATTCTGACGGAGCCTGAGCTAACCATATCCCAACATGGCGTCTTACCGATTCAGCATCGAAATGGCTCAGCATTGGAACAAAAATCACCATGAGAACCACATATGCATCGGAACCGAATCAGCATCGGAAAGATGTGCAACGGATCTGTTGAACGTATCGTCTCCTCATTGTGCAGCAAGGCCGCTGATAAGCCAACTTTTGGCGTAGATGCAAGACGCAATGGTCACCATTTTATTGATATTCTTGTAAGGTTTAGTGGGCATGGTCTCTCGCCAGATATCCGCGGACTGCATGACTGCAGGATGTGTAAGTTTGAAATTGTAGCAGTGGTCGAAGGACCAAGTACCCCGCTTTTGATTCATGGTAAATGACGTCGGCTTAATTCAGCCGATGGTGTTTACTGATGAGTCTGTAAAATGCCTCGTCTGAATTACCTATTTGTCACGAAAAATACGTGATTTCGATGTCCCATACCACGCTCCGAATCGGCAGTACTGAGTGCTAATGTTGGGCCAATGAGAACGGGCAATATCGTTGTCAAAAAGCAGCTTCGTCTTGTAGTAGCTGCGAACATTCTGTTACTGGTTCACGAAAGCAGCCTCACATTAAGACGCCTTCGATACGTTGATCGGTTCGGCGGCCTCTTTTTATAGCATGTGTTCTCGTGTGGCTTTTCGAGCCTTTTGGCAGCTGTGAGGAACTGCTCTTCGACACGTTAAGTTCCTATTGGGTTTTGAGCTAATTGAGTCATGCTTACATTCAGGATCATGCCTATAGGCCACATGCCGTTGGTAAGCCGAAGACTACTTGAGTCCTCTCTTAAAATACGAGAGGTCTGACAGGAAGGCTGTTGGGTATTTTGGGGGCCTCTTTCAGCTCAGGATCTTTGTTGAAATTTGGGATCCTTTCCTGCAGACTGATTGGACCCTTCATTTAGCCTGCCAAATACCTAGAGCTCTGGATAACGGTATATTGAATGCCACACTAACGCAAAGCCCCTGACGCAGCTAGAGGCCGTTAACATTTTTAGGGGTCAGTTCTCAGACCAGTCCAGGCTATGGAAGCTATGGATAAACTTTCTACGGACTTTCCGCGCGTGAATTGGGTTATATTTTCATAGGTCTGTTGGGATTTGGCACGTGGCGCCCTTGATCTTCTCTGGACATACAATGCCCGTATGCAGGTACTTGTTAAGTCACGCACCTCGGCAGTTGGTGAGCCTTGTAAGCGAGGTTGTGGGCTGCTCTGAACAATAGCTGGTAGCCTTTCAGTGACTTCCGCCGGAGTTTTGTTTGGAAGCTGTGGGGCATTTAATACAGCTATATCCAGCATAGTTTCGCGTCGCGGTATTGAGAACCGCATGCATCGTTGTGTAAATATATATATATATATATATATATATATATATATATATATATTTCAAGGACAGCTAGAGGCCTCGTAAACGGGCACACTTCACGACAAACATGGGCCAGCATGCAGCATCTGGGCTTTTGTTCCGACCGCTGCACTTTGAGGCACGCTGGTCAGGGATCTGCGTCAATAGTTGCGTTTAAATAAAATGTCGTCACCGAGAACGCTGTTCTCACATTTCTTGTATTTTTATCATAAATCATCTGGAGATATATAAAAGTGGCTGTTTGTCATCACAAACTGTTTGAAAAGGTACCCCGGACATTTTTTCGAAGAACTTTTGTCACATGCTTTTTAATGGGGTGTGTCTGTCTGTCTGTCTGTTTGTTTGTTTCTGTCCGTCTTTAAATGTCAAAAAGCACTAGACCGCCGTTCTTAAAGGCCCCGCCACCTCCAGAGGGTGGCAATTGTGTATGTGTGTATGCGTGTAAATAAAAGTCGTTTACCAATTGTTTACCTGGCCTGGTGAGGTATTTATTTGTTGATTTCAATGCTTTAACATTTCTTCAGCATCGCATGGGTCGGCAATGCAGTATACCTTTGGCTATCCTACCGATAACACCTTTTAGCTGGCATAAGCAGCGTTATATGTTACGGAGAGAGATGAATCATTGTAAGAATGTTGCTAAAGTAACCATTAACTCTGTAAGAGCAGGATAATCGTTACCAAGGAGTGGAAGGGACAACGGAAGGCCGAATTTGTATGCACATTGTATGAGAAAAATATGATTTAGACAGTGTTTAGAACAGTCAAGAAAAAGATGCGTGACTGCCCTTAACTCATCACATTGGTAACATCTGGGACTGATTTTGTCGTGGTTCAACGGGTTAGAGTGGGTTAAGTATGTATGACCCATTTTGAGTCGAGCAAACCGTTCTTCGTGGCTGCGCGATGGGTAGAATGAGCCGTTCCATTCATGCAATTTGCGTTTGCAGTTTGCGCAAAGGGGTGGCAATGGTCCCCAAACCCCACTGGTTATGCCACTGGTTTATGTTACACTACAGCAAAGCGATGCAACTTAAAAGCGATGAAGGCAGTTCGAAAAGATTCTGATAGCTTAATAAATGGGTGTGGCGAACGCTTACGTGCCTTAGGTCACCTTTTCTGAAGTAGTCTGGCCCTGCCAACAAAGAAACACCTACTCATAGCCATGGGGCAACTGAGATACTGACATGCAAATGTTGTGAGAAAATGCCGCTGATCATAGTCCTGACATGATCAGTAAGTTAAGGAGACCCATGGTGACTATTCATTATAACTTCTGGAAAAATTCGGGCGCATAGCCCGGTCCATTGGTATGTTCAGACTGTCCAGAATATATGACGGTTGAATTCTATTTGGACCCGCCAGTGACCGTGCACACCGCAAACCTGTAATCCAGTCGTGTAGTTTCTCATCCAGTCTGGGGAGGGTTTCAGCCCCCCCCCCCCCCCTCCCCCGCACGGCTTCAACCCCCACACCTCAACCCTCAACTTTGGAAAGGAAGAAGGTATGTGGGTCAAATCTGGGAGCTAATTGTTTGTTGCCATAGTTTGGGGTAAGTTGTGCCATTTTTTACTCCCCCCCCCCCTCCCCCCCCCACACACACTCATTTTATGAAATTACGCCCCTGCTATAAATCCGCGTGACCAGCACGCTTGAAATTGTTCGATCTTTCACGCGCCGCTGTGCGCTGACTCCACTTCAAAGTAAGGATGTTAAGTATGGTTTGTCATCAGTAACAAGACAAGTGAGACAAACAAATTCTTTGGCGCAGGAGTCAAAAATTACACGGAATAGCAAAGGTTTTTCTCAAAAACGTAATTTCGTGAGCTGCGAGTCGATCGTAAAATCACCGTTAACAGACAACCGGCGTTGCAGTCACCCCATGCTGAGCGGCGTTCGCCGCCGCAGGTAACACCAAGCCGTGGGCGGCAAGCGACACAAAATACCTTTGCGTATAGAGACGATGCTACCGAGCGCTCTTTAACCCGTCGTACGAGAATGCCCCGATCTAAGGTCTAATATGCGGATCAGACATTGTCTGATTGATTGCCATTTGGCGGAAACTTTATAAGCTGTTGAGTACGAACTCGTACAAGTGTGCTGGTTAACACTACTTTAGACTTTCACTTCTTGAAGACAACTCTTGTGATATAAACAAAACTATGCATAGCATATGACTCGGAATATATTGTCTGGTGTACAATTTAATGGTGTACATGGTCTGGTCTACAACAGCAGACACCGTCTCACTGGTGGCCGAGCCACGACGCCCTGGAGTTGTTTGGCCGTCCTCCGCACCTCGCAAGCCTCTCTAGTCCTAATCATATCCCGGTCATATGACTCCAGGGTAAGCTTCCGGTGCCTGCGCTAGTCTATGGCGACCTCCTCCTGATACACTATGCAGGCAACTGGTCATGGAAGGCTGCACCGAGGCTTGCACTTGCATTTCGTGACATCTAGAAGCTTCCTGAATTTCGCGGTGGCGGCATTGCTGTCACTCTCCTTCTTTGATTTCTTGCTGTTAGCTCTGTTGGGAGGATATCAATCGCTCTCGATCAATTTTGTCACATATTTTAGATTGTGAACAGAAATCGCTTCGTTGGTCCACAGTACCCTGATTTCTCACGTCGCGGTCTTGAAGATGACATTAGTGAGATTCCTCTTCGATTCGCTCAGCCACCTGATGTAACTCAATGCTTTCCCGTAGTCGGCAGTTGGTGGTGGGACAGAAGAGCCGGGTGGCCTATCACAGAACGTTCTGTGCGCGACCATGCAGCCTTGGGCATGCTTATGCAAGTAGTTGTTCGAAAGAAATGTTTTAGTACCGGCAAAACTACACTGATAAACCCATATGTCCCACGCAAGAAGCACATCAATTGCAAATCAACGTCACAATGATGCGTTAGCAATAATAAACTTGAACCTAGCCCGGTCTGCTGGAGCATTCTCATAACTGCACAGCTTTGGGTTTCACCAAAAATGAATGTGCTTTACTAAAAAGTCAGCTTACAAGCTCTTTGGCAATGTTTTGGTGGTGCTCTCCACGATATCTATTTCATAGTTAATCCACCAAGTACCAGTAGCAGGGAAAGCGACGGCTTTGAGTCTTGTTGGAGGAAGTTCTGTGCGTAAAATAGGTGGCGCTAGTATCGAATACGGCTTTTTTGGGCTATCAAAGAAAAACTGCTTTCGCCTCACGAATATCAACATTGGTGCGGTACGGCAGACCTGAAAGTTTATCATTAATCCGTGCGCCAATGAAACTTTTTGTCTCAGCTGATTTCAAGAGATTCAACCCCCCCCCCCCCCCTGATGACACACCCTATTGGGTAGTGAGGTGGGCCGACATCAGCAACTCAAAGACAGTCCACGATGTTGCAGGCCATCTCCAAGACGTAATTCTGGATCCGCCACTCCGTGCGGTTAAACCTATGAGACTTACATCCAAGCAAATCTGATGAGAATCAGTTAGTTGTAAAACACTCGTTGAGGTGAAAGGAAGCGAGATCCGAGGAGTGTGTTTTTTAATACGGGACACATCGTTGAACGTTGTCTCACCCTGCAAGCCAGCGCCTTCTCCCCACCCGCTCGCTCCCTCCCCCCTCAGCCAGCACTCGGGACCTACCCTCGCACAACCCGGGAATGCAAAGTGCTTCGCATGAAATGGCGCGAAACAACTCCCTGTGCCGCCGATTGGTAGAATTTGTAGTACAAAAGCTGCGCTTAGTATAGTTTGGAATTTCCGTCTGGTAAATGTAATAGTCCAGCATTTCCCTTTTTATAAATAAATCAATTGCTCTTTATACACTCAATATTTCCCTGTATAGTTATGTGAATGATTGCAGCTATATTGTTGCGTTCTTAAAATGAGCTTAATAGGACACTTTGTTTGAGGGAAAGGTATAACAAAACCGTAAATTACGCTATTGTAGAATACCCTACTCATTTTTCTCTTTCAAAAAATTGTTGGACTAAAAATTATTTGATCGTACACTTGGAAATACACATTGTAATTGTTTCCGATGTTTTTATCTTGATATATTTTGAACGTCGCATTTCATATCTTGACTGGTAACACAATGCTACCAGGATTCCGCCGATTCGAGTGCGCGCCGCACGTGGGTCGGGCTCACTCTGTAGAATCGCGCCATATTGGATGGATAGGGTAAGATAGCGGCCTTTGAGCCAAATTTGTTTCGCTTTAAATCCTCTTGAAGAGGACCGCGCGTGGTGATGGAGAACTCCTACGGCATAGGGGTGACCAATAAGTACTCCGTGTTCCTGGAGGATGATGCCGGGGACCCATTTGAGATTTTGGAGAACGCCAAGAAGGAAGCCGAGAAGAAGGTAAAGGTATCTGGAAAAGAGAATAAGACCTCCAAGAATGCAGTGACGAAGCCTGTAAAGAAATCAGTAACAAAGGAATCGGGCAATGAAAAGGATTCTCGGCAAGGTGGGTGCCTACAGAGCATGGTGGTATCTTGAAGCCGCGGTGCAATAATGCGTCGCTCACCGGACATGTCCGTCATAGCAGTGACATCGCCGCAATAATTTCAGGGCACGTAGTTCGTATTCTGAATGATCACAGTTGGGTGCATGGCCAGCCCCAGTCTCAGCTGACAGCGAATGTTGCAAAGGTAATTGATGAAATGCTCTGGCAACATTTTTCACTTAAAATGGTGTCAAAATTCAGCAAATGTGACCTGATCTGGGCGTGGTGCATGTTAGCATGAGGTGCACTGCTGGTGGATGGTAGGTGTGGGTTTGACCTGCAAAAAAATACTAGTCACAGAACACGTCTGGTGTGATAGTGTCTTATGTAGCAAGATATGACAGCAGAAGTTTTGCTGCAGGTTTGCTGCAAGTTTAAGTCCCATGGCTTGGAGTGAAATTTAGTAGGTGCACAGTGTCACTATTTCAGGTGCTGCCAATTTTGGTACATAGCTAATGTGTTAAAGAATGTTATGTGTTTTGGTCTGGGTGTTGTGCCCTGATGTCACATGGGCACTTGGTGTGGTAGGTGTATTTCTGGCAGGCTGAGTTGTGGGTGTCCCATCTAGTAGATACATTGCTTCCAGGCTGGTTATGAAGCTATTGGGGTGGGTAGGTAAGCTCAAAATTGGCTCTGCTTAACGCAAATGAGGCAACGCATTGAACTTAGGGTGTGTATGTGTTAGACTCCAGCGTAGTCAAATTATGCTAAACTTTTATGATTTTTTCTCATGAAATAAAATTGAGAGATACTGGAATTAATATTGGCAGTGTTATGATTCCTTGGAAGCATAACTGGTATGCTCAGAGATTGGTGATGGCCATGCATCAGACTGAAATCTCAGAGGTGCACTATTGTGTGCTGAAATTGTGGTGCTGCTACATGAGGAAAACATGTTCAGTGTAACATGCATTTGTGCGGTCTGTGGCCTGGGAGAGAGTGTCACCTCGTGCTCATGAGCCCTTTTGTATGGTGTCAGTGAACCAAAATTCCCATGTTTCCTTAAAAAACTGAATTTGTGAGGGACATTTGTTGTTAAAGTTACTTGAAAGAAAAATATGAGTATTTGCTAAAGCAAAAACTATTTGAAAATTTAGGGCATTGCTGCATAACTTACAGCAGTTGATGCGCCCTGCCCCCTCCCGCTTTAGGGCTTAATGGAAGATAACTGCTTAGACCTGCTTATCCAGTAAAGTCCATATCAGATGATAATTGATTTAGTGGATTTGCTCTGTTCAGGTGACTCATATTTGTAGCAGGCTCCATGCTGATATAAACATGTAATTTTCTGTATGAGCTTATTCCTACTGTGTCCTTGTGCATTGGTAAATGTAGTCATGCATCTGATTCTAGACTACCTGGTTTGTTAGTTGAGCACCCACCTTCCAGACCTCAGATGGTGGGGTGTGGCTATGAGATGGTGCAATCATTGCACATTACACAATGTGCTATTTGCAAATTAACAGGATGATATGTTGCTAGTGGCAGTATGTGATGAAGGTCAGATGAGATGGAAGGGTGTACCTCACACTGAGCATAGTGGCACAATTGAACCAGTACCACACAATCTGCAGGTAACTGGGATTTTGCAACAAGCATTGTTTCAGTGGTGGGCTCTGTGACTGAGATCCCAGAAACTCATGCAGTAAAAGTTTTGGGTGAATTTGTAAGATATATTTTTGTGTGATTTCAAATTGATGTCATATTATTAACCTCAGATCTGGAAAATTAAGTTCTGGCATTGCACCAAGTTTGTTGTGTCCCTGCCTTTTATGCATGCCTGCCAAAAGGGTTTTATAGGACCTGTCTTACATGTGACTCAGCATGGTTGGGGAATAGTGCATATAATAGTGCTGATAGTGCATAGTGCATAAATAGTGCTGATAGTGCATGCTTCACCTGGAACAGGTCTTGCCCATGTTGCACAAGTGATAATTGTGTATCATACACTCCATGTTGAGAATTCAACTAATGTGGCTATCACAGTGCAGAGCTTTGCTGCATTTTGTGCATTGATGGTCAGCATACCAAATGAAGCTATTTGATTTCTTTTTAAATAAAGACATTCCAGGCATTTATAGAGAGAATGCTGTCTGAGATTACGCTCCATGTGATACCAGCCTGTTTGCCAAAATGTTGACCACCCAGTCAAGCATTGCGATTGCTGTAGTTGATTTTGGGTTGATTATACCATCTAAGCTCATGACTGATACAAGTTGCAGAAATCACAGACTGCTATTGCCCTGGCTTAAAATGTGTTAATTCATGTGTTTCACAGGAATTTAAGATGTGAGGAGCAACATATACTCAATTTGTCATGATTTCTCCTCTGGTGCCAATGATGAGCCTCCTTAAAGAGAATGCTCCATGTTTGTACAGGATTTTGAACATAAATTACCATTTTGAAAAGACCATTTGGTGCAGTTCACAACCCTGCCCCCTTTTAGACCCAAACCTGTCAGGTTCCTGGGATACATGCCCACAAAGATGTGCAGACTCTTTTGAGAGGAGACCACTTCCAGGTCAGGTAGGTATCTGTAATGTCATAATAATGTCATCCAAATTCTGTCATTCCATTAGTGGTGTGGCTATCAAGAGAACAATTCCCAGCTTTAATGGTTTAAGTTGGCTCAGTATGAGTTGTGCCAGGCATGATGACAATCAAATGGTGGCATATCAGGAAGCTTCCATTTCTAAACAGAGAAATTGTGCTGTTTAGAGCAGTCTTTTCCACTCAAAAGTGCATTTATATATGCCATATGTATATTTTTGTATATATATATATATATATATATATATATATATATATATATAGGTTTATGTACATGCATGTATTTGTATCTGTTTGTATATGTATGTATGTGCAATTCAGCTTATTTCATCATATCTGATACTTGCTTTAATATGTTTTAATGCAGAACATTTCATTGAAGTTCAGGGATAGCTGCCCAGTGCCTGAAGAATGCCTACATGTTATGGGAAGAGAGTGATGTCTTTATATTGAAGGAAAGCAACATTTTGCTTTTGGTATGTGTGCTGTTCATATTGTCATTCCTCTGCTCTTTTTTACTGGTTGGTTTGCTAATTTTTCAAGCTGCCCTTATCGTATGAAGAAAGCTGCAGCATGTCATCCTTGCATCATCTTTTCGTCAACAGCTATTCACTACTTTGTATACTGTTATCTCCAAGTTGTCAGGCATTGCATTGCAAAGCATTACTTGCTTATCCATTGCCACAATCTTAGAGTAATTGGCTCATGCCAAGAAAACTTGACTTGTTTTGTTGCCAGCATAAACAGAGGACTGATCACACAAAGTATTGTTGCAACTGGAAGGGAATGTTCCACATTTCTGTGGGGTTTTGAACTGAAATAGCCTTCTTGAAGGTTATTTGGTGCAGTTCATGGCCCAGCCCTTCCTCCTAAGACCTAAACCACTTCTAGTTATCTGAGTTACACTCCTGTGAAGATGGAGTGTATTTCAAGGCTACCATGGCAGTCATGACTTAGTAATAATATTACTTGCATCTGGTATTTTGTAAGCGATGTGGCGATCAAGGCCGAGAAAAATGTGAGGGTCGATTCGCTCATCCGGCATTCGGCATTCGCGAGTACGATTTCCAGATTTAGCGGCCTCCAGTTGGCTCTCGATCAGTGTGGTGCAAGCTGCGAGGGCATAGTCAAACAATGGCATGTCGAGGAGCATAGTTATCAAAGAGAGAAATTTTGTTGTTTAAAGCAGTATTCTTTTTGAAGGGATGCAGTAGTATAAGTGAGATTGTTTCATGTCTGATGCTTGCTTCAATGTTTTCACATGTGAAACATTTCCTTTAACTAAGCCTATTTTGCTTAGATGTTGCAATGCAATTTGTGTCCTGTCCTTATCTATAATTACAATGGAGTAAAGCTGCTATTTTAAACTGTACCACCAAACTACCAAAGCTCGATCTGTTTACACATTCTGCTTTCAGTGCGTCAGACATGCGTGCATAGCTTATAAACAGTTACCTGCCTACCTCATTTTCGAGCTGAAGGCACTATGTTCATCAATAGGGACCTCTGCTGTGTACTTATTTGTTATCCCAATCCCTGTCTGGTCAGACTGGACTGTCTTTTGTAAAGGATAAGTAATAAAATTCGGTTTTTCGTTTGAATGCCCAGCACTAGACATCAGAAGAAGGGTCTTCATCTTCTGGTATTTGGGCATTATAAGTCAAAAGTTCTTTTGCTAAGCTAACGACCTCCAAGATAGCGGGCGGTAATGTCAGGACGACGTTGTAGTGTTAAACAATTAGTTAATTGGTAACACTGAATGTTTCGAGTTGCGTATGTTTGAAGGTTAGAGAAGCTCATAATATTGGGTGTCACCAATATAATTGTTTAGCACTTCATTGTCAAACCAGCACCTGTTGTATTGAATGTTGTTACCTTGGCATAACAAATTTGAAATTGACACAAGTTAGGCATGTTTTTTGAGCAGTGACTTAATGATCGCAGCTTTGTTGTATTCCTGAGTAATTAGAATTAAGCCAACTTTGAATTCAGATGTAACTTACTAGTGCTGAGCCCTCACAGATCTCAATTTGAGGACCCTGGGTAACGTATTGTGACACTTTTTGTTATGACTGCCATATGACCAGGGTAATTGGCGCGCCCTAAAGCCCAAATTATCAACAGTTTTTATGACGACTTTTGCTTTCGACGCGCGTTCGGAGCTGAGAAAGGACGCCGGTGTTAGCAGACCTTAAGGAAAGTACTTCTGCTTACTCGTCTCCCATAGCGCCCTTGGCAAGGGCGGACTTCACGGGATTGATGCAGACTTAACAGAAACTGGCAAAACAGATAGCAAACATGCAGGGAGACCCGCGACACGTCCAGATCTCTCACAAATATGTTTTTGGTCCGCCCAGATGTCTACAAACTTCGCCAAATTTAAGCACTTACTGTCTTTTTTTGGCATGCTGCCGTTGTCTAAAATTGGGACAGTTTTCTCAGTTCGGGTCATTTTTGACCTGAACAGGAGTGAGAAAGTCATGTTTGCTGGTGAATAAGGCCCGGTCTCTGGCTTAACACTAGCCTAAAGAGCACTTACGAAAACACATTTTAACGCAAGTGTTGTTTGAACATCAATACGGAGGATCTGAGAAGCAAAAAGCAATTTGCGCGCTGGATGCTACGACCAAATAAATATTACTAGAAGCGTCTTTATCGACGGGATATGATTGTCAACCCACTGCAGCGAGTGTTTAAAGCTGACCAGAACGGAAATGCGCGTTAGTAATCCCGTTTGTAGCTCAGGTAAGGGGATAGCACGCGTCGGCCATTGACGGGTGGTATCTGCAGCCAGTCTGTTCAATTATCCCATACCCTTGATCCTGTGTGGGGCCGTGCACAACCGATCTCGTGTGTGTGTGTGGGGGGGGGGGGGAGTGGAGTGGAGGGGGTGGGGATTGGCCGTGGATCGAGGGCCTTGCAGCTGCGGGTTGGAATGCTGGTCCACTTTCTATTCGTAGCGCGGATCATGATTACAGTGAGATCGTCATTGCACTTTTAGTAATGCATGAAAGTCTTCACGAACTGGACGGCGTCGGTCGGTTTGGCCACCTGGTTACGGCGCTGTGCTGTAGCATTTGCAGCCGTCGGGTCGGCCGGTGTGCTCGAGCGTCGAGACCAGGGGAGTGGCGCGAGCGCGCGGTCGGGCGGTCCGGGCGGCCGCGCTACCTGATACGGTCGGGCGCCGGCCGCCTGACGCCGCCCGTGCGGCCGGCCGCCCAGCTATTTATACACGTGTGGGAGGGCGGCGGGGCCGGGCCGGGCCGCACGTGCGGCCCGGCCCGTCCCGCCTGGCCACGCCGTCCGACCCGGCCCAGCCCGACCCAAACCATCACCGGCGCAGCTGGCATACCCCCGCCCCCTCCCCTTCCCTTCAGCCCACGGAACATGATGCTTCTGTACACATTTTCTCGCTGATGGTTGCTCTTGCTGGCACCTATCGACGGCTATTGTGTATTCATGGTGCCGAGTTAGTTGTACATCCGTGCCTGCGTTACGTTTCGCCGTTGTGGAGCACGGCGCGAGAGGCATGCGATTTTATTACACGTTTGCTTGTTGTGACCACACCTTATTGGCATGCACACACGTTAGCGTTGATAACTTTCGAGGTCCGGGATTTGCTCTTCGCGCTTTCGTGTAGTGTTCCTTCACCTTTTCCGAATGCGTCGTCAGTAGACGGCGTATGTGTGCTTCAAGGGTCTCAATGGTGGTGCGTGCAGGTCGCCTCCGCGCGATCGGTCATCCGTCACCCCGCCGTCTGCACCAACACGATATCCAGTTGTGTTGATGTCGTATGAGTGATGGCTCGCTGTCGTTGGCTGGTGATCTGCGCCATCTCCGGCGTCTGACGGACGGCGTCTGGTCAGCAGGTGCTGCCGTTCAGGGCGGCGGCCGCGGTGGTGCGCCAGGCCGACGCGGCGGCGGCGCCGGCGGCCCGCCCGGCGAGTCCCGCGAGGAGCGCAACAACCGCCGCAACTGGGACGAGCGCCCCGAGTTCAGGTACCCCGCCCCGCTCGCCCGGGCCGTGACGTCACGGCCGGCCATGGCGCCCAGCACGGTGACTCATTTCACTGGCCCTCGGCGAGTCACGTAATAGTTTGCTGCAGCCATTGCCAGCGGTAATCAGCAGGGTTAAGTGTTCGAACTCGCACGTGCGGCACTGGCGTCGTGCCGTTCGTACGCTTAATTCACGGATGCCCCTCCCCCATCCCCCACGGGTATATAAGTGTTGATATTATGCCGAATGCTATTCCGAAATTGTCCCCAGAGCGGGATATCTTTTTAAATGGGTTTCCTGTGTACTTTTTTGTCAAAGTTCGTACAGGTCTAACGATTTTGGTGTCGGTTCGCGTGTTTTTTGTTCTGGTCTGTTAGGACTGGATGTCCAGACCTTTGTCAGATACCCAAATTGCTGTCTTGAATCCCTGAACCATCCAGTGCGCTGCACCGCGCAGAGCTGTGTGACCTTTTGGGTTTGACAGTCATTGTGCCTTATGCATGGATGGGCGCGATAAAACATCCCCTCTCCGCATAGTCTGCAAAGTGATGCAGTGTGCGTGCGTGCACGCCGAAACTGCCAGGCCGTACCCAGCCAATTCCAGCCCCGTGTCGCGTCTCCAGTACGGCCACCCGCCGTGCCCGTGCTCGTGCGCCGATGTGTGACCCGGCTCGGTGCCGCAGGGACGGCGGGGCGCCGCCTCGGTTCGGCGGCGGCGGCGGCGGCGGCGGCGGCGGCGAGATGTCGGAGCGCGGTCGTGGCCGCGGCCGTGGCGGCCTGGGGGGGCGTGGCCGCGGCCGGGGACGCGGCGGCGGCATGGACAGCCGCGGCAAGCGCGAGTTCGACCGCCAGTCGGGCTCCGACCGCAGGTGATGCCGCCTTCCCCCTCCTGCGCCCCCGCCAGCCCGGCTACCTGTCTCCCCGCGGGACGCGCGCGGCTCAGTGTGCTGTCCGCGTGCGTGTGGGAGAACGCCGTACCGGGCGACTGTGTTGAGGTCTGGTTGTCGACGGCAGTCGCCTTCGTCAGCGACGATGGAGTGCGATTGTGGCAGCCGATACTTTGGGTCCCAAGAAATCGCGTGCTGTAGTTCTTGCCGTGCTTTAACCCCATGAAACCGTTTTGCCTTGGCCGAATGGACCTTGTCGCGGTGTGTCCTCGCCTGTTCATCCTTCGCTGTGAGGGCCTCACAGGCTGGTGCAGCGCGCGCGACGCGAGCCGGCCGGGCGGCCAACTAACGGCCTGGCGCCGGCGTCCGTGTGCTCAGCAGCGGGGTGAAGGCGGTCGACAAGCGCGACGGCAGCGGCCGCGGCAACTGGGGCACCGTGCAGGACGAGCTGGCCGAGCTGGAGGCGCCGTCCGAGGAGCCGGCCGCCGAGACGGAGCGCGAGCCGGCCGCCGAGCCGGCCGAGGACGGCGTCGGCGGCGAGGAGGCGCCCGCCGAGCCGGAGGGGCCGCAGGAGCTGACGCTCGACGAGTGGAAGAAGCAGCAGGAGCCGCGCCGCCAGCCACAGTTTAACGTGCGCCGCGCCGGCGAGGGCGAGAACCTCACCCAGTGGAAGAATACGTTCGAGCTGAAGAAGAAGAAGGGCGAGGACGAGGACTCTGACGACGATGGCGAGGAGTCGGTGAGTGGAGGGCTGCGGTGTATCGACTTGGTTCTAGGTGGGATAAACTGAGCTTGTCGTTGCAAAGTAAAAGTTCATGTCAGGAGCCATCAGTTTTGTCTAAATGTGCTGGTTGGCAGCTGTGATCCGAGCTTGGGCCTCCGCACAGACACGCTTGCCGTTGCCGTTGGTGACCCGCCGCCCGTTTCAGGAGGACGAGGAGCACGACGTGCGTCATGGCCGGCCCAAGCACTTCGTCAAGGAGATCGAGTTTACGTTCTCTGACAACCGACGCGGGCGCGGCGGCCGCGGGCGCGGCGCGTTCCGTGGCGGCGAAGACAGCGGCTACCGCGGCGGATACCGTGGCCGCGGCGGTCGCGGCGGCGAGGACGGCTCGCGCGGCGGCTACCGCGGCTCCGGCGAGGAGGGCGGCTATCGGGGAGGCTATCGCGGCCGCGGACGCGGCGGAGAGGACGGCGGCTACCGCGGCGAAGAGGGAGGTGCAGGCTACCGCGGCGGCTTCCGTGGACGCGGCGGCGAGGAAGGCGGGCCGCGCGGCGGCTTCCGCGGCGGGCGCGGCGAGTACCGCGGCCGCGGCGCTGGCCCGCGCGGCACGCCGCGCCAGAACGCGCCGAAGGTGGACGACGAGAACGACTTCCCGTCGCTGGGCTGAGCTCCGCTCGCGACCGCCGCGGCCAGCGGCCGGCCACCGGCTCCCTGTGAGCTGTACACGGTCCCACCCCGTACGGTGTAGGTTATACCTGGTTGAAAGTCGCGAGCGACGCGAGATTTGCTGATCTTCGTGGACTGGGCGGCTGAGTTCACTCTGCTGCCGACTACTGCCGCCGCGAGCAATGACGAACAATCTGAGGTCGGTGCCGCGGCCGGGCACTGCAGGCCCGCTGGCCACAGGCAAAGGACTGCCCCGAAATAGCAGCGCGGAAGCCAAAAAAGGCTATGGCTGTGGCGTGCAAAAACGCAGGCATCGACTCTGGCAGCCGGACGCCAGTGCACCGGGCGTCGGGACTCCACGACGGTCGTGTGATTGGTCTCGTCTGGGAAGCTGAAACGTGAATACGTCCCGCATATGTGTCGGGGGAGGCCACTCGCGTTGTTCTCATAACACTTGATTATGAATGCATGTGGGGTGCGCTCTGGTGGGGCCGCCGCCCGTCCGCGCGCATCTCTCCGCGTCCGCCCCGCTCATAAACTGGCCTAGTCGCTCGCTAACCTCTCGATCTTGGGTTTGGCCCGCCTACAGTGTGGCGCGAGCGAGAAAACTCACGTGCATCCCTCCCCGAAATCGAAAATTAATCACGGACGGATCATTGTCATCTATTAGCTTGTTTGTTTTGTATGTATTTAATGACGGTGGAAGTTGAACCGCGCGCCAATTTTGTATTGTGGGACATCGAGCGTACAATACAGTTTCAGATGGTGAAGTGGCTGTTTCTTGTTGGAATTTCTGAAGCGAGAACAGAGGTCACATGCGATGTCAGAGCCCCAAATGACGCCAGAAGGAGCAGCGTGGTGGCGGCATGCATTGAGCGCGTTGTAGACGTTACCACAGCAGACTCCCGCCTATGTGTGGCTGCGGCGAATTGTTCCGGACCGCGCTCAGAATGGGGAACCGTTGGCTGTGTTATCACAGTCGAAGCGCAGGGGGCGCTGCCGTCGCAAACACCTGAGCGTTTTAGGGATGTATTTCGCTCGTCTACAGTACACATCGTATCGCGCGCCATCCACGTCAATACATCGGCTCGCCTCATTCGTCTCGTCGCGTTCCACCGATCGAAATGATGCCACCAGAAGCCAGGGCATCTGAGGTACTCTAACCCGCTCGTCCTCGCGGTTGTCCAGCAGGCACCGGGTCAGACCTTGGCCATGGCGCGGCGCGGCGAGGCGGTGACGCGGCCCACGACGGACGCCATGCTCGGGGGCGCACGGCCCGCGTTGTCGCCGCGTTGCTGCCGCGACCGCGGGCTGGCGGCCAGCCGGTCACGCACGCTCGACCACTTGTCGGCCGAGCCGAGCGGGCTGCCAGCGCGACGCGACTGCATCCGCGTCGCCTGCCGCGACACGCTTTTGTTGACCACTTCGACGAGTCGTTCGGTCGGCAGGTCGGCCGGTAAGTGGCTCTGCACACGCTCCCAGGCGGCCAGCGCGCGCTGCAGCCGGTCCTGCAGCCCGCGCAACACCTCTGGCCCGCCGAACGGCCGCACCAGCTGGAAGCCGAGCTGGGCGTCGGTCGTCGGCCGCACCACCAGGTGGTAGGCGGCGCGGGGCACGAGCACGTCCAGCGCCGTCACCGTCGCCGGCAGCGCCCAGAGGAGACGTAGGTTTCCCGTCTCGTCGCACAGGTCGAGCTCACCCTGCAGCGGCTGCTCGCCGAGTAGTCTCATCATGCGCTGCTTCAACCAGTCCATCATCAGGCCCACGTAGCAATCAGCGTTGGCAAGCAGCTCATACTCGTCGCCTACCTTGACGCGGATGAAAGTCATCACAAGGAAGGACACGGGTTACAATGGTTTTGATGCTGCCAGACACACCGTGCAGCGGCACGAGGAGACTAGGAATGTGTTCGTAGCCTTTTCGGACAATCGCACTTACTCGAAGTGTGTCGGAGCAGCTTCGAAGCGTCCAGTCGTTAGCAGTCTTGAAGTCGACAGCTGTTCAGCTTGTGCAGGCTTACTGAAACGCCGAAATAAAATGTTTGTGAAATTGCGTGGCGTTGGTACTGGATCTCCTGCTTGGAAGAAAATTCATGTGTAACATGTGTAAGACTCCCCGATAAAGTCAAAATAAATATCGAAGATGTTGACACGTCGTCGGCTTGTTGCGCTGCACGTAATAACATAGAAAGCTGTACAAAGATGTATGATTTTACGGTAAACCCGCAAACGGAATTACACGATTGTCAGACGCCTGTGGTGTACGTCAATATCTTATGTCCGTCTGTACAAAACCTATGCATGTCGCCACCTGCTCCATGTTTACTGGACATCCCGGTCTGAGATTACAAAAAAATTTAACCGGAAAGTGACATCGAACACATGTCGCGTGACTGTATCACGCTGTGAGATAACTGATGGTGTTTCTGCTGTTTGCTGTAGTGAATTTGTTCAAGGGATCTGTTCCGAAGTTTCATGGGGTTGCAAGCTTTTTAACCAGGCGTTAACGATCCACACCATACGTCACGTTATCTATATATTCAGGATACTACTTACAAAGGAGCTGACTTTTAGATTGCGTATATGCACGAATCGCTCGACGTTTCGACCGGATGCAATCATAATCGAGAACTGAACTGTCCGTAAACGATCGACCCAAACCGAACCGCCGAACCGAACGCGTCGGAAATGACGTACGTCATCATCAAGGTGGGTGACGAGTCAGCTATTTTTGCCAACGCCAACTGCCCGGTGCGCGTGCTGCTGGACTGGCTGCGTGACCGTGTGGAGTCCCTGCTGCCACCCCTGACCGTCGAACTTGACCTCTGCGACGACAACGGCAACATGCGCCTGCTGACCGAGCTGCCAGCGACCACCAACGCGCTGAGCACGCTTCAGCAGTGCGGCATTTACCACCCGGTGGTGCGCCAGGGCTCGGCGACCAGCAGCAGCGGCTTCCGGCTGCTGCAGCCGCCGGAAGGGCACGACCGGCGCCGCGAGCTCCAGCAGCGTATTAACCGCGGCATCGTCATTTGGGAGCGGCTTAAGCAGAAGCTGTCCAAGGACCCGCCGCTTGAGAAGCTGCTGGAGATGGTGCACAAGGCCATCGCGCGGAGCAGCAAGGGCGGGTCGCTGGACGGATGGGAGCGGGCCCGTGAACGAGGCCTGTCGAAACGCGGAGATCGGCGCTCGTCACCGCGGGACAGTACCGGGGAGCGGGAATACCGCATGTCTGGCAGCGTCTCGCCGGACGCGCTCTCCCAGCGACGGAGTTCCAGGCGTTACGATGGGGGACCCGGCTCCCTCAGTGCACGGGGCCGCCGGACGTCCGCCAAACGTTTCGGTTCGGTCGGCTGAGGCGCAGCCCTCATCACGGATGCCAGCAGTTTTGTAAACATTTGTACTTGCGCATATTTTGAGCAGGTGCCGTTATCTCAGCGGTTGGGCGGAAACTGATCGAGAACGCGCTGCTTATGAATGGGAAGTTACTGAAACAACAGCGCAGAAGATCATATATTATCGTGCGCAAGATACGCTAGAAGACCTGGGATCTGGCCATCGGTTGAAGAACTGCGTACACGCAGTCTGCCTGAATTAAATAAGTCAATTCTTGTTGGCCGCGTCCATTCTGTGGACAAAACAAAGACAAAACTCTTCACCCAGAACACCGTGCATGGGTGATTTCTGCAATCTGGGCTCAAAATAACTTCTACATGTGCGGCGGCTTTGTACATTTATTGTAAGCGAACGTGACGCATCGGTGTCATTCTGCGGACCTTCTTGGCCTGCCCAGGAGGGATTTATCTTGCGATCGTGGGAAAGCGGTACACAAATAAACGTGAAGCCGGAGATTTTGGCGTATAATTACAACAAGGTGCTGTACTTACTAGCTATGGAACGAACTCGACTTTCTAATCCACATGCTTCAGGCTGATGTGTATTTAATGTTGCTTGTTCTTTTATAATGCATTATCTGCATGTAAAGGTAGTAAACAGCCGGGTATTTCTCAGGTCCTTCTTTGAATGATGTGTACCTTAAAAGGCATGAAGCTACCGGTGATGCAAATGGACTAATGAAATCAAATGAAGCAAGACACAGATTGTCTCCAATAAATCATAAATTGGGAATGGAAAAACAGCTTTTTGTGGAGACACCAGTGTCATGTTTATACTAGACATCAGTGACATAGTTCCTTGAAATATTGACTCTTTGTGCATTATGATTAGTGGGGATTATATGGCAAATTCTGAGCACTTGGATTTATAGCATGCATGCCCCAAAATTCTGCAGCAGGGATGCTCTTATGCCAGGCATGTTTGGTATAATGTGCATTGTCTGCAACATTTGGTACAATACAGCCCCATTTGGAATCTTCTGTTAGATTTACCCTCAAAACTGTCATTTATGAAGGTATTAGCAGCACCAGCCTTTTTTGGTAGGCACAAAACAGATTGGAGGTAGTTTGTCCATTCAAGTGCATTGTTCTAATATTCAGCCACTTGGGTTGTGAGGAAGTCAATATTTTTTTCATGCTTCAACACCCCAGCTTTGGGCCCACTGCCTGTAGCTCCTCCCTTTGCTCAAAATCAGCCAGCCAGCATTGAACTGGGCAGCTATGCAACAGAGCTCTATTGCACTTCAGGCTTGACAAGTGGGCTAGATAGGTGAGATGTCTGGGTCAGGGTCAAGGTGTGACCAACTAGCACCAACTGAGTGTGTGCAGGACTGCTGGAGAACCAGGATTCTGGTAGCATGAATTTATATTTACATCCTGTGCACCCAGCAGGATTAATTTTGTCATCCTGTTCCAGTGGCTGCATTGGTTAGATTGCTGGTCTCTGGATTCAGCCACCCAAGGTTGGTTGGATTGTAGTCAATTCATGTGCATCATGTTTGTGCCTGACTAAGATGACCTATTGCTGGTGGCAGGGGCTGGGCTGAAGGTCAGATGATGGAGAATAAGAACAACTGTGCTGGGCATTACAGCATGTTAAAATTTCTCTAGAAAGTTCTGCCATTGCCCTGGAATCTCATAACATGGTGGAATCATGAAAATCAGTTTCCCTTGATTGTGGAATGCTGTATGCCATTCACACTGCAGTGTTGTGGGAAGATTAGATTGGGTCAGTCAGCTGGTATGCAAGAGCTGGTTGCAAAAGCAAAATGGATTAGCAAAAAAGCCATGCCAACACAAAATACATATGACATACCAGTAAAGTAACCATGATTTTTATGCTCAAGTCCACATGAAGTTGCAGTTTTAATCACTGGTCAGTTACTGTCATCTAGTGATTATTACAGCTAGGCTAGTTAATGCTGCTCAATTGAAAAGGTATTGCCATTGAAGTTGAACAATGAACTCATATTAATGTGCCTGTAAAACACAGAAACACAAACAACACAAACACAAACAAACAAAACCAAACCAAACAAAAATGACAAAAACACAAGCAAACAAAAACAAGTTTTTCAGCATTTGTTGGGCCCAGGAAGGCCCCTTGCTGTTAGGCCCCTTGCTGTTAGGCCCCTTGCTGTTGGGCCTCTCACTGTTAGACCCTTTGCTGGTGGGCCCCTTGCTGCAGTGTTCCAGTATTTGGCTACTTGGGTGGCAGGGATGTTAATATTTTTCATGATATACACCCTGGCCTGTGGCTCACTGCCTGTTGGCCCTTGCTCAAAATTGGCCTATCGGCATCAAGCTGGGTGGCTGTCAACCCAATTATGTAGGCATGTCAGGCTCCATAAATGGGCTGGGCAGGTCAGATGTCTGGGTTTGGGGTCAAAGGGCAACATATTAGTGTCAACCAATTGCGTGCAGGGGCTGCCGGGTAGCATGAACCCTTGTTTACATCCTGCACAAACTTCTGGATCAATCTTGGAATGCTGCCTTGCTTTTAGGCCCCCCTACTGTTTGGCCTCTTGGTGTGCTGTTGTCCTTTAAAGCTCCATTGAGTTAATGAGTGATGCATAGGAAAGCTCCTCAAAATATTGGAATCTCAAGCAAATGAAGCAGTGGTGATAGGCTAACTGTTTTTTATCTGTGAAGATGTAAGTGTGGTCATTATTTTTGGGTCTTGACTTGTAACAGTGATATTTTGTTTTTATTCTCTGGAACCTTTTCATGTTCTTTGCATTAGGTGCTGATGCACACTGTTTTCAGAGTGTCATGAGCTCCAGCGAGTCCGGCTCGGAGGCGGTGGTGACGCCCACCACCCCCGGGCCCGACCCACTGTCGCAGCTGCTGTCGTCGCCGGCGGCGAAGCGGGCTCGGCTGGACTCCGAGGCGGAGGAGTCGGACCCGGTCACCCCTTCTACTGGTCAGTCGGAGCCAGCCACCCCAACCGCTGGCCCGTCTGAGCCAGTCACGCCTACTACCGGTCAGTCATGGACGGCTACCCTAGCCACTGGTCAGTCACAGATGGCTACCCCAGTCACTGGTCAGTCACAGATGGCTACCCCAGCCACTGGTCAGTCACAGACGACTACCCGAGCCACTGGTCAGTCAGAGATGGCTACCCCAGCCACTGGTCAGTCACAGATGGCTACTCCAGCCACCGGTCAGTCAGATGATCAGATCTGATTAATTCAGGTCAGATCACAGATGATCACCCCAGCTGCCCGTCACTGGTCAATACAAATGATCGCCTCTGCGTCCGGACTTGGACGCCGTTCGTGTTGACTGCGGCGTGTTCCCATCACTGGCCAGCAGCTGCGCTGGGACGGTGAGCTCCGTTCTTTGGATCTCCTCCGTTCGGTGCGCGCGTCGCCGGTGCCGGAGCGCGCCTGTACACCGCTCTCTGAAACGGTTGTCTGCCTCCGTCTGGGCGCAAAATGACCCTAGAATTCGACGCGCCCTAAAACCCCAATCATCATCATCTGCCTCTGTCGGTGACGGGGCGTGACCGTTTGTCGCCCGCGAGCCGCGGTTGGTGTGGGCGTCGCCGGTGCCCGCCGTGCCCGCTGTGACGGCGTCGCTGTGTCTGCGCGCAGCAGACTCCGACATCCAGCTGCCGCGTCCGGCCGAGGCGGCGGCGGAGGAGGCGGCCGAGTCCGGCAAGTCGCGCCAGGAGCTGGAGGAAGAGGAGCGCGAGCGGATGCAGTCAGTACCGGGCCGGGGTCGGGCGGCACGGGCTCCGCCGGGCGTGGCGGAGCGCTGCTCGCGGGGGAGGGAGGTACATGCTGTACCGGACGAGGGTGGGAGGAGTGCGTTAAGACGGAACCGGTGCGCAGCGGGAGGGAGGACCGGGCCCACCAGACGGGCGGCCGCCGGCCCAGCTGAAAAGGACGGGCCTGCTGAAATGCTGTTGGTGCTGCATCAATCATCCGTGGTGGACCGGACGTGTCGCAGCAGGCAGGCAGGGATAATGGGAACATGTGAGTGCCCGGCAAGCAATTCACGCTTAACTATTTCGTTTTGTTTTTGATGAATGCAGTTGTAACCGATGTGTGGCTTGTGTCAAGTACTGAAACCATTTTCTGAAATATTTGAATTTTTCAGAGTGCTTGTGTCTTATTTTACTGAGGAGCAGCTGGATAGATACGAAATGTATCGTCGTGCTGCGTTTCCGAAGGCTGCGATCAAAAGGGTGAGGTGACGTTTCAGAGCGCAGTGTTGTCTAAAATGTGATGTTAGCATTAGACACTGAATTGAAAGTTTCACTTTCGAATTCTCGTCATAAGGCAATCGAGTTGATCGTGCGATCACCGTGTCTTGCTCAAACATATACTGCTGGATATGCTGAATGTGTTTCACATTTTCATCATTTTCTGATCGATGCACTTATGTCAGGAGATAATCTGGTGCGAAACACTAGATGATGTTTATCGTTCACTTGATTAATACTCCCTTCACGGGAATTTATTGTAAACCATCAGCTTGTGTTGTCTTGTGTGTGGGAAATGGTTTATACCGGTTGCAAAATTTGGCGTATAAAGCAGCATTTCGTGCGTCCCCTTTGCAGCTGATGCAGACCCTGACCACCTGCTCAGTCTCCCAGAACGCGGTGATCGCGATGTCGGGCATAGCCAAAGTCTTCGTGGGTGAAATCATGGAAGAGGGTAAGCATTCGGCATCACGCGTTGTAACCAGCCAGCGCTTGTTATGCCGGCTGAAAAGCGTGTCGACGTGGATTGCGCTTCCGTATCGTGATGAACAACGTCTAAGTCGATGGCACTTGGCCTTTTGTGGTCTACCCCAAAGTCGTGTCGCCAGGATCCATCAATGCGGACTCGGTGGCCCGCTTGTAAACCTGGTGGCTCCAACAGCTACGGTGAAGATGAGGCATAAGTTTTCTGCAACATTGCAAATTGAACCAAACATTGTTTCACCCATTGGACTAACACGATAAACGTAAAATTTCTTATTTTGAAGAATCTGCATACCACTGGTCAAAGCCGGGTCCAGTTCGCGATGGCACGACGTCGCAGCGATACGACATGGGCACATGCGGCAGATCAGATAATAGTCAGCCGTTTTGGAAAACTGGGTCGGTGCGCGAAAACGGTCCCGCGGCCCGGGGCGCAAACGACGCGTACGTCCGTCGTGGAGCGTTTTTAAGGACTGGTGTCGGGTCTCGGCAATCCCAACTGATAAATATTTGAAACCGACCGCGCAGCTTAGATGGAATGCGCGGTCTACAATTCGTGGAGATTTTTTTAAAAATCCGACACAAGTGTGCCACCAGTCGACCGGAAAGTGCCCAATGGCACCTTTTACGAAACTGATTTCGAATGTAACGCACATATGGTGTTTTGACGACGGTCACCAAAACTGCAAATAATTTCATTTGGCCGATGTCGCCGCCTAAAATAGCCATGCCCGGCAGGAGCACAGCCAGCCAATCTGCATATGATTTTACTTTGTGGCGCCCTCACGCCGGCGCAACATAAGTGAACTTATGTCTACCAAACTGTCATAAAAGGCGGCTTCCCAAGCATTCGTTTGGGTTTCAAGAGAGTCCGTTCAAGAGTTCGCCGTTCAGTGCGAACAGAACATAGCTCAACCGTCTGTGGACGGATAACTAAAGTAAAAATTTTGCTGTGTTGCTGCTCTTGCGGAACATACTTCGCTCAAATTCAGGGCGTTTGCTATGTACGTACTATTTTGATCACTCGCCTCGAATTCCTCGTCCAGCTAGCGTCCGTACTCGCGCAGTCCTCGTCAGTTCGCCGGCGACCTGCAAGTGCCCGCGGAACTCACGATGCCACTGCCTTCCAGCTCTGGACGTGAAAGATGAGCTGGCCGATGCGGGACCCGTGCAGCCCAGACACCTGCGCGAGGGGGTGCGCCGCCTTCGCCGCAAGCCCGGCACATTCGTCCCTTCCATGAAACAGAGACGCCCTGTGTTCAGGTTATGAAGCTGAGCTTGTCGCAACCGCTTGCTAGATGGCGATAGTGTCGCGGTTTTTGCAGTGTGAAGGTGGACGAATCATGCAACAAAAAGCCGTTTTTATTTCTACCGCCTCACCACGAATGTATCGCTCCTGGTGCACATGTATTGACGCACGCCTCAGTGATCGACACGATGCGGGACGATCGCTGGACGTTGCCTGCTCGCCACCACACCCTACCGCGCGTGATTTTAATGTGCAGTTTGCATTCGTCGGTAGAGGTCGCGACGCATCGGTGTACACGTGTCTTCTGTACATGGCCGGAGTTGTTGGCTATCATGTTTTGTGAGGGTGGATTGCGGCCGGACTGGGTATATTTCTCATACCCTGCACCGCAGCCGCCACGGGTCACGCGTTAGCATGGCCGACGCTGGTGATGCTATGGCCGCGGCGTTGGTGAAAGTGTTCGCATCTTTGTCGTTTCGGGAATAGCAGGAAGACTGGTGTCCCGTTAAGTGCGTGGAGTGCATCGCTGTCCGCGGATCCCCTCCGCTCTGTCGTGTAGTCTGCTATCTTTGTCCGGGACTTATCTTCGTGCTGAGAAACCCTCGGTCAGACTCCTGCTCCCCTCCGTCCGCCCCCTGCTCCCATCCTCCCGCCTTTGTTCCCCTCGATCAGCGTCCTGCTCCCATCCGTCTGCCCCCCGCTCCCCTCGGTCAGCATCCTGCTCCCATCCTTCCGCCCCCTGCTCCCATCAGTTCGTCCCCTGCCCCCCTCAGTCAGCCTCTTGCTCCCATCCTTCCGCTCCCTGCTCTCATCCCTCCGCTCCGTGCTGCCCCCCGTCGGCCCCCCTGCTCCCCTCCGTCCGCCCCCTGTTCCCCTCCGGCCGCCCCCTGCTCCCCGCTATTCCAACACTCGCTCCAGTCTAGCTCGCTACTGAAGCTCGTTAGTAGCGCCATACCCTCACTGCGCACTTTTCCTATAAACCCGTAGGTTATGACCGACATGTGTTACATACAGGATGTTCTGAAAGCTGCGCAGCCTTTTCTCATTTGCGGATTTCACTGACGGCGACGCCATAGCTGGCTTGTGTTGCGTTCACCGATCGATCTACTATTTGCTCGCCAACTGGTCATTCCTCTAGCGGCGTACCGAGTAGGTATTTGTGGGCGCGGCACGCCTTGGCTGGTGTGATTTTCCAACTGCGTGAGCTGTCTTTGCACCTCGTGTCTTAAAACCTCCTTTGTGTTTTTTTCTTAAAACTGCGTGACCCATTCCACCAGCGCCAGCATACATTATGAGCAGTTTGTAATGCGTCCTGCCCAGGGCTAGGAGGTACGTGTAACAGTCCGGTGCACCTACATCTTTTGTGTTGGTTCGTGACTTTCTTTTTTTTTTTTTTTTTTGCTACTGGAAACTGATTGATGCTCCGCAAAAACTCAGGACTTGTAATGTATCCATCTTAACTCGGAAATACGTTTATTATCGAAACATTTGCACCACGCCGTCTCCAACTGCAAACCAGCAGACACCTAGTGGAACTTCTTTTTTGCGTCCAGTTATGATTTTTTCACGGGTAGCCGCAAACCGAAAATGTGTTTTCTAACCCTCGTCCTGCCTGCTTTCTTGTCCGGTCCTTTCCCGCTCCTCACCCGCCGTTCCTCGTCCAGGTGGGACGACTCGCCGACACCATCTGCCGTCGAGAACGTCCTGCGCATCATCTACCGCAACCGCAGCCACAAGCCGGCCGAGTGACCTGGCCCGCCCCACCCTGACCTCTCTCTGCCGGCCGCGGTCTTTCGGCCGGCCCCTGTCTCTCCCGGCCGGCCGCCGCCGTGACGCCCCCCACCCGTCCGTCCCGGTCTGGCCACCTACCGAACACCGCCGCCGCGCCGCCCTCCACCCATCCGTCCCTGACTGGCCACCTACCGAACACCGCCGGTGAGCGACGCCAGGCGCCGGGCCCGGTCACCCGGCGCCCGGCGCCGCTCACCCGCTGACCGAGGGGTCAAGTGCTGTGCCGCGGGGAGCGAGGAGCGTCGCAACCGCAAGGCCGTTATGTACAGTACAAAATGCGATGCGCTGCTGATCAGGGCAGGGCTCGCGAATGTCCGCGGTCGCGGAGCTTGTCAGATGATCCCTGGACGCCGTGTTCGCTGGCTTCCCTGCTATATTCGTGTGTGTTCGAAATCACCAAAACCGCGCCTACATGCCATTACGCTAACAAGCATTACGTGTATATGGACATGCTCGCCCCGCAAGGACCACTCGTCACCAGAACGACGGCGCCGCGGGCCGTTTCGCCGGCGGCGGTCGATGCTGGCGCGCCATTGCGACCGTGATTTGGCGCGATTCAACGACACGGATCAATCTGGTCATAGTGACCACTCGGATCAATGAGGCCCTCTGTGGCCGACCGCGCGCGGTCACGCAGCGCGCTGGGGAGCGAAATCTGATGAGGTCGGCGATGAAAACGTCGCCTGGCGTGGCGGCGCGCCGTCCACGCGATGCTCGGCGGAGATGGAGCGAGCGGTGCGCGGTGAGGCACGACACGAGAGCGGAAGGTGGGCGGTGTCGCGCCACGATGGTGAAGGTGGCACGGCATGGTGGTGCGTGAGCAGTTGCCGGGTCGCGGGCAGTCCATGCCCAGTCAGTGCAGGCGGTCGGTGCCCGATGCTGAGTACAGCATGCTAACGTCACATTTAGTAAACGACTGAACGCCCTAGGCTAGTACGTACCCCCAGGTGCGCACCTGTCGAAGGCATCCCGGTACGTGTCTACCAGTGGGAGCTCTTCCGAACGGTTATCTAAGTAGGCACCAACAGCCGACAGCATAGTGAGCTGTGGTCAGCTGACCAAATTGTCGCCGCACAGTGGAGAGGGAGGCATGTGACTGAAGAGCATTGAACTATCAACGCGCCTTAAATGACGTCCAGGTGCACGCTGGAATGTGGTGCTGAGATCGGCCGATTTTGTGTGTGGTGTTACGATGCATCGGCTAGACACTTCCAGACACTTCCAGCGGTGGCGATGTTTTCGCAAATACATTTCATCAGCGTAAAGAAACATGGTTTTTGAAGTTCCGGAACACTTAACACTGCTCGCAAAGGCACAGACCCGATTTCGGCATAAAGCAGATTACGCGTTAAATTAAGTTTGTCAGTCGGGTGACCAGCAAACGTCCAAGATCGTGACGTCCAGTGCTCATCATCCAAAGCTGCAATATCCGACGCTCATAGCATTCAACATGCGTCTAATTCCGTACCCATTCGCGGAGTTCATAGCGTGCAAGCTTGCAACGGCCAACATTACAACATCCTATGCTCATAACATCCAGCGATCAGGACGTCCAGTTGATTAGTTTCGATTGGCACTGTTCTACAACCTTTGGACGTCATGAAACCTAGATGCATGAACTTTGGGTGTTGCAGTTTTGGATGCTGCGAGCTTGGATGTTCAGTTTCTCCCCTGTCCAGGGGCGTCGAAGGATTTTCGGATGTTAAGAATGTTGGATGCAGCGATTTTGGACGTTTTGACCGGACGTTATGAACTCCGGATGCTTCAATACGCATCCTGTGATGAACCCTCCGCGCGGGCCGGTAAGCAAAGGATGGAACGGATCAAGTTGGTCAGCAGAGATGCAACTTTCTTATGCAAGTGAGATTTGCTGCCCAACCGTTGCTTTTTCCGCAGGGTCGCCTTTCCAGCGGCTGGACAAACCCTCTCCGCGTTCCTCCACCCGGCCCGTAAGTGGTCAGGTGCAAATTGATGGTGGTCCGGAAGTGTTGGGTCACAGATGACAAACGTGCTAAATAATTGCCTTCTTTTTGAAGACCTCATCGCGTTTTCACAGCAGCGTAGTTAGAACTGACAGCAGATGGTAGATATAGACCTCATAATTCTCACACTCAAGCGGATAGAACTAACAGCAGGTGGTAGACATTAACCAAATGTGGCCTTCGTTGTCGAGGCGATGGCCCCCTGTTGTCTGGGGCCGACTTGTGCACTCCTCTCGTTCCAGAGGAAGACGCTGGGAGACCAGCTGAGGGAGGTGGTCGGTTGTCCAAGGTCAGGGGAGACTGGAGTAGAGGTGAGGGCCGTTACGGAACCCGGAGGACCCCATCGACCGCCGACTTCTCAACCAGTCGCGAGGAAGCCCCTTCAAGCTTCCACGTTATAATCACTATTGCCTGTGTTTGTTTGTCGTGGTCCTCGGAATGGGGCCTGTAGAGCCAGCGGGTAATGTGATGGCAGCCTACGCCGCTGGCGTCCGATTAAACCTCGGGCGATGGCCGACATCGCTTCAGAAGCCGGACATTGGCCAGTGGAGAGGGGAGCACTCGGGGCGGAGCGGGTCAGAAGATTGCGGCCAGGTGAACAACCCGTCGGGTAGCCCCGGGCCCGGCATGCCAGCATTTTAGGGGCGTGAGATGATTCGACTAACTGTGTTCTTTCGTATCAAATCAGGCACGTGTCTGGATCCCGAAGCGGATTCAAGGGCCTTGGACCCAGGTGCTGTCATCGAAGGACCCAATATGATTTGGAATCCGCTGGCCTTGTTTCTACTTCACGACCGGGCCGGTGAACATAGCATCTAAATGTTCTATTCAGGGACCCGCCTGCGTTCCTGGACTCAGGTTGTCGCGGGTTCTAGCGTTGGTGAGTTCCCGCTTTTTCTCTCGAATTTCTCTCATAGCTGGAGCTCTAGTGGAGAATATTAATTTCATTACTGTATCGCGCATCTTTAAGTGCTGCTTTGTGCTGTTTTTCTTTCAGTATTTGCCCCCCCCCCGAAAATGTGTTTACGCTGCCTATCTGCGCCGACCCCTCCCCCCCCCCCCCCGTGTTAATACTCTGGTCCCGCCTGCTAGTATCGCCGGACACTGAGCGTGCCCTGCGCTGCCCCGGTGGGGGGGCGTAGGTGGCGGTTCGATCCCGCGCTCTCGGCCCCTGCACTTAACAAACACCTGTGTAAGAGTTCCCGAGGATATGTCGGCTGGGCTCCTCCTGTAAATGGTGTTTTATTGGACTCCGACTGCGCCTTTACAAGAGCGCAGAACAACAAATTCGCATTGAGGAGACACTTGCGAACAATAAATTCGCATTGAGGAGAATGGCGAATGACAACTGCTGACACTGTTGCTTAGCCCTCGCCAGGTGTTGTGGTCTCACTCCCGTCGGCAGTTTAGCTAGAACAGTGCTCTTGCGCGTGCCCTATTGATTTCGCACCTGATGCACCAGAAGTAAAGCGTGTTACCATAGCCCTGTAAGTCCTCACAACATTCGTTTCACATTCGCATTCAGTCCCCACATTTCTAAGCTATCGTGGGTATAGGAACAAGGGTAGGGTAGAGTTGACCCTCCCCCACACACTTTTGAATATACGTAGCATAACCTCATGTTAAAGCACAGGGAGGATCGACTTTAAAACTAGAATCCTTCCTCTCGACTTTATGAAACGCTCCTACACTCAAGTAACCTATATCCTGTAGTTCAACTGTTTGAGTTGTCAAACGCCATTAGGTTCGCTTCTCGCCAGATCGCGAAGTTGGCATGAAGCCCGTTCAAATCACCATTTTCTCTCGAGCACTTGGTAAAATATCATCTTTGGAGCTCAGCAATGCAGAAAAAATCGGCTAGAATCGGATATGAACGTGAGCCGAGTAATCTACGAGAACAGCATACAAACACAGAAGACGAACTTAATCTCGTACTTTTTCAACAGTGTTATTGATACATGTGACAGAATTTGATGTTATGTCCATATACACCCACGCCCACACCCACACACACACCCACACACACACACCCACACCCACACCCACACCCACACACCCACACCCACACCCACACCCACACCCACACCCACACCCACACACACCCACCCACACACACACACACACACACACACACACACACACACACACACACACACACACACACACACACACACACACATATATATATATATATATATATATATATATATATATATATATATATATATATATATATATGTGTGTATATATATATATATATATATATATATATATATATATATATATAATGTGGTATGTACATGCAATGCGACGTCAGCAATTTTGCCGTTTGACAGCAACGTGCAATCATAATTGCTGCGCCATAATTACGATTCATTGCACATCTTGCACGCTCTCGTGTACTGAACTAAGGCCGACCAGAAGACTCGCCGCACCTGCTGCAGGCAGTGGTTTGTGTATGTTTCCACAAGCACAGCCGAGCGCCGGTTTTCGCATTTTCGCAATATACAACCCTCCTTCAGCGGCGTGGCATGGCATCAGCTTGAAACTTGGAATAATACGTAAAATCGTGTGATATGTACAACATATTACAAACTCCTGATAGCCCAAATATCAAGTTATGGGATTAGATTACCTTTTGCAAATTTTCAGGTCTCGGACAGTCTTCCTAAAGTTTTCTGTCTAACCCCCGGCTATTTCTAGCCGGACCTTGAGTGTGTCTCAAACCGACTTCACATTGGGAGTCGGGTTCAGCCCATGGCCTCAACCAGTGGGTTCAACCCGTGGCTTCAACCCTTTGCATCCGCGAAAGCATGTTACCTAATTTTATGCACATAGATTCAAACCTACTTAACTCTTAGCCCGACAGCTCTAGAACGCAATTAAGCAGCTCGGTGCAAATAACGATTACATTTGTCGCGCCCCTAAAACCCGATAACTGACTCACGTAACGAAGTTTGCCGTGGTCCGCTCAGCATGGGCTGAGTTCCAGCCCTCCTCTGCCGCTAGATGTGCCGCTCTGAGCCCTGATCCCATGTCCCTCACCATGACCGACCCAGGCCGTGCTCGTCGGCCTGGATACCACCGCGGTCATCCTGACCACCGACTCTAGGCGCCCCCTCCCCCTCCCCTCTAAGTCCTAATCCCGGCTCTGTCCCCTGACCAGTGACTATGATCCCGACCGCGCCCCTCACGGCCATGTTCGTAACACGCTGCTTTGGCCGTGCCCCTGGCCTTCTGACCCTGGTCGCGCCCCTGACCTGCCGACCCTGGCCGCCCTGGCCGCCACCCCTGGCCGCCCTGGCCGCCGGCCCTGACCGCCCCTGACCGCCCCTGGCCGTCGTCGGCCGCCGCCGGCCGCCGTGCGGGGTCAGCCGGACCGCGGCGCCGGCTGGCTCGGCGCTCCGGCGGTCCGCCGACGAGCGGCGGCCGGCACCGGCCGACACCAGCCGCGTCACCACACGTCACGGATGACGCACGGCTCCGGAGCCTCCAGCCGCCGTACCAGCCCGCGGCCAGCTCGTGAGACGTCACTCTGTCGGCCGAAAAGGTCCGTTCTCGGGGAGCGGCTGTCCCCGCATCGCGAAGAGAATGCGACGCCAGCACCAGACTTCCCGGCGTCGGCAGGACCAGACCGGGGTTGTGGAGAGCTCGCTGTCCTGCAGGGAGTGACTGGCCACGCTGTGGCCAACTGGGAGATGGTGCAGGTCACGGATTCGCACTGGCCGGGACGTTCCAACCGACTCAGACGACCGCGGCGACCCTGGCCCACACTGACTCAACGCGGCGTTGACTTAACATCCAATTCATCACCAGCCACGATTCGCAGCCGTCAGCATGTTGACCCGGCAGCACCTGGTCAGCCACGCTTTACGAGGACTGCAGACGGCTCACGACGAAAGGTGGCGTGGTTCGCAGCGGGCGCGCGAGGCATTCCAGCCATGTTACCGTCCGTGCCAACTCCGGCTGGCGCTGCTGGGCGGCGCCGAGGCGCGAAGGTCACCAGGTCACCGCTCCGACGAAAGTGGACGAATGGGAACGGTGGGGCTGGGTCGCCATGTTGTTGAACCTTTCGACCTTCAGTCAGAATCGATTAGTGTGAAAAATTAAGTAGCACAGTTTTCAACACGCGCACTCGCAAGTCAGAAAGCAAAACAGGCGCTCGGCGTTGCAGTCTCCGTGTGCTGCGCCTTGATTCCGCGTGTAACACTCGGTAGTGGATGGATGCAGATGATGACGCATCTTAGATATGTGTCTTTGCTCGCATGGGGAA